TGTTCACTTCTGTGTCATCACCTCTGAAAATTCTTGCCAACCCAAAATCTGAATTTTAGGATTCAAGTTATTGTCTAACAAAATATTGCTCGTCTTCAAATCTCGTGAACGATTTGAAGTTTAGAATCTTGGTGGTGTAGAGAAGTCCCCGTGCAATTCCAGTAACAATTTCAAAGCGCTTTTTCCATGACGTAGTTTCCCTTCTTACCTTATCTGAACATCATTGCCAATTTCAGTAACTTTAATTTTGAAAGTAAGTTCAAACAAGCATAATAATGAATGGCTTTAAGCTTAACTAATATATGTTACTAGCAAGAAGGGCAAGGGATCCAGATGTGCTAACCGAAAATAAAATAATCCAAGCTCTGATTGGGCATATACTCGTAGATCAGTATCCTTTCGTCTCCCTCAATGCAGCTCCCAACCACGCAACAAGATTCCTGTGTTGAAGTTTGCCAATTAAAGCTACTTCATTCTTGAATTCTTCCAGACCCTTGTCTTGATTTTTCGAAAGTCTCTTCACTGCAATATCTTGTCCCTCCAAAAGAGTTCCTTTGACCATTCATAATTTAGCAAGAGTTTCAAGATACCATATAAATTTCTGTTGAGAGTTTCACAACATATAAATTTCTGTTACCTTTTATCCAGACCAAATCCACCCTCACCAATCATATTGGCTTTGGAGAATTGTTAGTAAGCAACAATGGTAGCCAAATCAAACAAGGTACTTCTATGTCCTCCTTCCTATCTCCACGCATATTAAAGTTTGAACTTCTTCCTTACCTGCTCACCATGACCAACACATCACTTTATTTTTTATTGATTTTTAACACAAATACACACAGAGACCTCCCTGAAAAATTGAATAAAGCTTTGACAGATCTGGTTGTTTAATTTTATTCTAATATTCCTGCTAATACAGACTTTATCAGAATTAAAATCTGCAAAGAGTGATGAATGTTTACTTTGCTTTTCGTTTTTCTCCAAGCTTGGTAGACTAAAACCCCATATTAACAGCAACAAATGGTTGAGACCACCACGACGATCTTTATTATTTTCCTTTTATGCGAATCATAACTGATTTAGAGCAGAGAACATCAAGAAACTTGATCAATCCTTTAGATTTTAAAAATAAAAAATAAAGCAAGAAACAATTGAAAAAAAAATATATATAGATTTCTCAGACTGTTAAACTGTACATCAAACCTAACCTTCAGGAATACTTTAGCATTTAATTTAGTTGTGATAAAAAAGGAAAAAAACTTACCTAGTTCTGAAGCTGGAACCCGTATATATAATCCTGTCCCCAACTGAAACTTCCTGACACTTCTTTTTATATCAGTCAGGTCTCCAGACCACATCAGACAACCACTACCTTTTCCGCTTATATCTGAATTAGCATAAGCCATGCAAGAACAATTCTTCAAGCACTTCGCCCAACATTCCTGGTATTCATACTTTGGTTGGACCAATTATTATCAGGGACTTTCATACGAACAAGCTTCAGAACCCCTTCTCTATCGGGCAATCTGACTCTTGTGATTTCTTACACATGTTGTAGTCTGAGGTGTGCCCCAGTCATCTTGTGATTTGGGCACAAACCCCTTCAAGCATTCACACATCGGTGTCCTGCGGTTCTGCAGTTGGATTTAGCACCACACTGCTCAAAATGGTCACGTGTCAAACGGCCAAGAGTACAGAATTTCCCATGCTCCGCTCCCTGATTAAAAACAAAACGTTGCATTGTACCGAAGATTGATTCACAATTAATCTGTGTAGAACTGTGTCGTCGAAAGGCTATACATGTAATACAACTCATCTTCGTTATGCACCACCATTGGTTTGAAGACCTTGTTGTGGTCATGGAATACTGTTGAAAAATGGCTTTTAGCAAATCACATGGGTAGAAATGATAATGGAGAAAGGTTTAGGGACTTATGTAATAGCCAAAAATGTTTTTGTCCCACATTGTTAGAATGAAAAGTGGAAACTTTTGGGCCTATATATAAGGACCATATCAATACGATCCCAAGTTGTAATTCCATTACTTTCTTTTGTAAGGTTCTTCTCTTAAGACTCTTTAGTTTGCAAGTTTTGTTATCTTCCCCTTTGTTTTGGGTATTTTTTGTATTGCCCAAAATTTGTAATTGTTTTGGAGAGTGGAGTTTTCTTTTGCAACGCCCGAGGAGTAGTTTTCAATACCGAACCTGCTAATTCTGGTATTCTTTATTTTTGCATTTAATTTTGGCAATTATTTATGCTTTATTACTTGTATTATTATTTCAATAGCGACGTATGAGTTTATGTTTCCGTTGCATAACAATTGGTATCGAGCCTAGGTTTAGACAGTGAGTATCTATTTGTATGGTTATATGCATGTCTAGAAATTTGTCAAAAGAACGATAAAAGTCTAAGGGACTGGATTTTAATGGGACCATTTGTCCCCCTCCATTGTTTCCTGGGAATTTTCCTGGTGCGTATTTAATCATTTCAGCACTTACTACTACCTAGGGCTATTGTTGATTTGTTGGTTAGCTTTGAATAAATAATTTGTGGAGCTTGGTTATTGGGAACTTTTTTACCAAGCAAATTGAGTAAGCTAAAGGCATCTTGTCCGAGGATTCATCGTCGAGGCATCAGTCCGCGCACCACCATCCGCACCAGTAAAGATGAACGGTTTCAAATGCAAAAATTGATGTTGAAAAATTTGATGGCAAATAATTTTGGCTTGTGGCAGAGTGAGGTATGGATAGCTTGTATCAGCAGATCTAGATATCGTTCTGGAGGAGGAAAACCAAAGATGTCTATAGAAAGACTGGTGAGGTTGAATGTAAAAGCGTGTGGGATGATTCGCTCATGTCTTTGTAGAACAGAAATATCCATTCATGAAAGAACGTCTGCCAAAAGTTATGGACGCCTGGAAAAAACAATACATGAGAAGTAATGAGAAACGGCTCTATTTGATGAAAAGACTGTTTGTCTTCAGTTGAGACCAGTACGAATATTATAGCCATATTGATACATTAACAATTAATTGCTATTTGTTAAATTTGGATGAAACATTCAAAGATGCTAAGGCTATGTTGTTAATTGGATCTCTTCCAGATGAGTTGGACTATCTTAGTATTACACTTCTTATGGGAAAGAAAAATTGTCTTTTGAGAAGTTTGTTCTGCTCTGTCCAATCAGAGTTTGTACGAATAGCATTACCTATAATTAAGAGCATAAATTATCTCCTGTCATATGAATGAACATACCCATCTTTTAGTGCGGAGCTGTTGCGAAGTGCTTTTGAGTTTTCAATTTAATATCAAAATATTTAAAGTGCGTTTGTTTCCCTATTTTTGCCATATTCCTATTATTTCCAAAATACACATTTGTTTCCCTATTTTGAAAATATTATTATATTTTATTCAATTATTTTTTTACCTCTTAAGTTCGTTAATTTAACTAAACACCTCCAAAAAAAAAAAAATGTTTAGAAATTGACAAAAACATCTCCACCCACCCACATTTGCTAGATTCTAGCCACCATCGTCAAAAGGTAGCCGGAATCTGGTATAATAGAGCACTACCGGCTGGATCTGATCAGTAGTGCACTGATTTAGACTTTTTCGGCCAGATCCACCATGGAGCTGGTAAAAAAAGGTCAGATTTACGGCCATAGATTGACGGCTAAATCTTTGGCTGTAGCTAGTCGTCAACGCTGACCAAGATATGGCTGTCGTTAATGACTAAACGCTGCCAAATCTGGCCGTCAATGGCCAGATCTAGTCGTAGATCTGGCTTTTCCAGCCAGATCCATGGTTTGGCTGTCAATGACCATATCTAGTCGTAGATCTGACCTTTCAGCCAAATCTATGGTGGATCTAGTTGGAAAATGTCATATTGGCGCAAACCGGCCAGATCCTGTCGGTCATGCACCTATACGACGACTTCGGCCACCCTCCGTCAGTGGTGGTCGGTTGTCGGTATTTAATCGGTGGGTGGGGATGTTTTTGTTAATTTTTAATGTTTTATTACATGGGTGTTTAGTAAATTAACAAACCTAATGGGGTGTTTTTGTTAATTTTCAAATCCTACCTCATAATAACAACCAAACTCTTACTTTTTCAAAAATACTAAAACAAACGCATCCTAAACTGGCTGCTTGATGAAATTTGGATATGGGTGATCATTTCAAGGCAACTAAAAGAACTCATTGTGAATTTTGTAATAAATTAAAACTGCAGAAATTTTGGGGTGTAACTGTCATAATTGAAAACTATTAGGGGTGAAACTGCAAGAAATGAAAAATAGAGAGAGAAAAAAGGGCACCCGCAGCTCCACCCGTACCCGCATAGGATAGGGTACAGGCCCAATATTTTAGAGTCGTACGTATAACTCAACCCATATTGGGCCCGTACCTGTGAGACCTGTACCCCTATTAACCCAACCCCAACCCAGCCCACTCGCCCGTTTTGCCAGGTCTACTCAAAAGCTAGCTTAGGGGAAGAGGAAGCCCAACCCACTAACTTGGCAATGTAAAACAAATACAACCTTATAAGTTATAACACTCTCTCTCATGCTCGGTGTGCAATACTGAGGTCCAAACCAATCATCGTCTTAAACAAATGTGAGTACTCACCCTCAAAAGCTAGCTAAGGAGAAGAGGGAGCCTAACCAACCAATTTGGTGATGTGGTATAAATACAACTCCTAACATTTCTTTCGGCATCAATCCTTTTAACTCATCTTTGGAACAATTAAAGATAAGAATATGAAAAGTGATTTTGGATTGTTGACCAGCTTTCTTAAAGAAGGAAAAATTTTACGTAATGGTTATCCAGTCATTTATATTTTATTTGGGCTCATCCATTAACCATGCATAGTTAAAGAGCACTTTCATGTCTGAAAAAATATGCACTTTCTGGCTTAAGAAAGGGAAGAGCAACAGCCTGAAATTAAGCACATAGGTCAGTGGCTAGTTTTCCTTTTAAGAATCAACTCAACCTTCTATATAAATATATAATTTTACTAACTTTAAGGCATAACATAACCAATCACTGTTACGAGAATTGCCCTGAAACAAATCTCCACTTTACATCAAACATTTGTATAATATCTCCAAGAAACTATTCAATGACAATAAAGTCCTTTAAGCTTATGATTCAAATAGAACATATCTGCATAATTACTCTATGCCCAAACAGGAAACTACTATTAAACTTCGGCATGAAATTCTATCTTCCTACCGGAATGGTTATACTCAATGCATTTCCTGTATTAGATGTGTCTTTACTTGATGATGTATCTGTGCTGAGACCTCTTTCTGTGAAGAAACCTGGCTCACTTGGTCGAGGCAACGCTACATCTTCATTTGCTAACATAAAAACTACAGACGACATATCTGGTCTGTTTTCTGGGAACTTCTGAACGCATAATAAACCCACTTGAATACATCTTTGAATTTGAGATTCGTTGTAAGAATCTTTTAAACACCTATCCATTAGTTCCAGGGTCCTTCCATCATTCCATAGCAACCAGGCCTGAAAATATTACAACACATATACTTCATTTATTCACCAAAAGGGATAGTGTGTGAAAAAGGAAGAAGCATATCAGACTTATCAGTTCTACTTACATGTCCGATAAGATTATGATGGTGATCCAGGTGACAGAACCCTTTATTCCTTTTTCCACTTATTATCTCTATCAGAAGCACTCCAAAGCTATAAACATCTGATTTCAGTGAGAATATACCTTCTGTTGCGTACTCGGGAGACATGTAGCCACTACAACAAATTATACGAGCATAAGAACTTCCAACTTGAATATACATGATTATAGATTATAGTAGTAGAACTTACTATGTCCCGACGATTATCTTTGTGTTCACTTCTGTGTCATCACCTCTGAAAATTCTTGCCAACCCAAAATCTGAAATTTTAGGATTCAAGTTATTGTCTAACAAAATATTGCTCGTCTTCAAATCTCGGTGAACGATTTGAAGTTTAGAATCTTGGTGGATGTAGAGAAGTCCCCGTGCAATTCCAGTAACAATTTCAAAGCGCTTTTTCCATGACAGTAGTTCCCTTCTTACCTTATCTGAACATGATTGCCAATTTCAGTAACTTTAATTTTGAAAGTAAGTTCAAACAATGCATAATAATGAATGGCTTTAAGCTTAACTAATATATGTGTAACTAGCAAGAAGGGCAAGGGATCCAGATGTGCTAACCGAAAATAAAATAATCCAAGCTCTGATTGGGCATATACTCGTAGATCAGTATCCTTTCGTCTCCCTCAATGCAGCTCCCAACCAGCGCAACAAGATTCCTGTGTTGAAGTTTGCCAATTAAAGCTACTTCATTCTTGAATTCTTCCAGACCCTGTCTTGATTTTTTCGAAAGTCTCTTCACTGCAATATCTTGTCCCTCCAAAAGAGTTCCCTGTTGACCATTCATAATTTAGCAAGAGGTTCAAGATACCATATAAATTTCTGTTGAGAGTTTCACAAACATATAAAATTTCTGTTACCTTGTATACAGGACCAAATCCACCCTCACCAATCATATTGGCTTTGGAGAAATTGTTAGTAGCAGCAACAATGGTAGCCAAATCAAACAAAGGTACTTCTATGTCCTCCTTCCTATTCTCCACGCATATTAAAGTTTGAACTTCTTCCTTACCTGCTCAACCATGAACAAACACATCACTTTTATTTATTTATTGATTTTTAACACAAATAACAACAGAGACCTCCCTGAAAAATTGAATAAAGCTTTGACAGATCTGGTTGTTTAATTTTATTCATAATATTCCTGCTAATACAGACTTTATCAGAATTAAAATCTGCAAAGAGTGATGAATGTATTACCTTTGCTCGTCGTTTTCTTCCAAGCTTTGTAGACTAAAAGGCCCAATATTAACAAGCAACAAATGGTTGAGACCACCACGACGATCTTTATTATTTTCCTTTTATGCGAATCATTAACTGATTTTAGAGCAGAGAACATCAAGAAACTTGATCAATCCTTTAGATTTTAAAAATAAAAAATAAAGCAAGAAACAAATTGAAAAAAAAATATATATATATTTCTCAGACTGTTAAACTGTACATCAAAACCTAACCTTCAGGAATACTTTAGCATTTAATTTAGTTGTGATAAAAAAGGAAAAAAACTTACCTAGTTCTGAAGCTGGAACCCGTATATATAAATCCTGTCCCCAACTGAAACTTCCTGAACATTCTTTTATATCAGTCAGGTCTCCAGACCACATCAAACAACCACTACCTTTTCCGCTTATATCTGAATTAGCATAAGCCATGCAAGAACAATTCTTCAAGCACTTCGCCCAACATTCCTGAGTATTCATACTTTGGTTGGACCAATTATTATCAGGGACTTTCATACGAACAAGCTTCAGAAACCCTTCTCTATCGGGGCAATCTGACTCTTGTGATTTCTTTACACATGTTGTAGTCTGAGGTGTGCCCCAGTCATCTTGTGATTTGGGCACAAACCCCTTCAAGCATTCACACATCGGTGTCCTGCTGGTTCTGCAGTTGGAGTTAGCACCACACTGCTCAAAATGGTCACATGTGTCAAACGGCCAAGAGTACAGAATTTCCCATGCTCCGCTCCCCTGATTAAAAACAAAACGTTGCATTGTACCGGAAGATTGATTCACAATTAATCGTGTGAGAACTGTGTCGTCGAAAGGCTTATACATGTAATACAACTCATCTTCGTTATGCACCACCATTAGTTTGAAGACCTTGTTGTGGGTCATGGGAATACCACCAAACTGCACGCCATTCCATGGTCCGCTGCGGGCCACTTTTTTTGACGAAGAGCTAATATATAATTGAGGTGCGTCATTAATCTCGAGTCTGAAACTAAAGTCTGTAGCAGATGGATCATCAACACTTCTCCATGATGTAAGATATCGCTCAAAACCGGTTTTTAAGTTCCATCCAAGCTTCATTCCTGTTAACAATGTATCTGATGGATAATCAAAGCTTTGCCACATGTAGTTCTCAGAACTCCTGTCAGTACTCTCCCTGAGGATAAAGTTCCCAGAATCTAGGAGTTGTACCTCTGGATTTGCTAGAATCCTTGATGAATTAGAGGACCAGAGAATTCTCTTTCCTTCGTCGATGAGTACAAGGCTTCCGTTACTGGAAATAGTTAGAACTCCGGTTTTATCAGGAATGGGTTTGTTTCTGTTGGCAACCCACACAATTACCTGAGGAGTTATCTTGTACCATATTCCTAAGAACCTGTTGTTTGAGTTCCCTGGTGTGAAGAAGCCTAGCTCATATCTCTGGGATGACGAAGTTAATGTCTCACCATCTCGAATAGATTGTCCAGAAGATATCGTATCAGCTGCAAATGATAACTCCAAGGTTGATAAAAGGGTCAAAGAAAATAAGAAAGTGAAGAATGAAAGGATCTCCATAATTATTTCAGAGAGAAAATTGCCTCCTGCATAAATTTTGGAAAAGAATGTCCTTTAGAGCTTTCATAAAAGTCTTCTCCTAGCTGACAACCCAGACTAGATTTTTTTTTTTTTTTTTTTCCTCTCATAGGCTTTGTTAAAAACTGAATGATTACAAGGAAAATGAAAGAGATATTATTAATCAAATAAATTGGAATTATTTCTAAAATTAACATTTCTTTCGTACTAGAAGTAATTTGCTATGAAAAATGAATAAGGCCATCCAAAGTTGAACCGTAATAAGGATATAGATTCTGTACAGGTCTAGTCTAATGAATAGTCTGGGATTCAGTTCTTGCTGGAAAATTTGAGAGGTTATTTAGGTTCCTAGTTTCAACAATTACTGTAGTCAGATAGGATTGAAATTCTGAAGAATTTTCAATCAGATAACCAAGTTTATTAATCAGTGTCGCCAGCGAAAAGGTTACCTCAGTCCTTAAATTGTTTTGGAGCTTCTATGTTGCTAGTCTGTTGTCCATATACGTACCACACTTTTATTTTAGGACTTTTGGCTTCGAATTTGTGACAATCCGTTGAAATTTTGTAAGTTAATCGTCCCTGTAAACGGCTACCATTCATGGCCCTATATTAACACTCGCTTTAGTGAAGGACTTGAGGTCCACAGAGTGTTATTATTAGCCTGGAAAAATGGTTATATACGTATTTATATAATGATCCAATGCAGTCATTTTCTAAAGCAAACATTTTCATCTAAGAAATATCAAGTTCAGGGGGATACTTCTTCCAAAAAACCTTCAGCCCTACAAAATGCCGTGGGAGGTATCCCGTCAAGTTCACAGCTTGACCCTGCTATAAGAAGCTACCTGTAGAAGTTTGACAATACTCTCCAGACGGTCAACCAAAGGTTGGACCGTTTGGACCAAGGCACACCATCTAAGTCAGCTACGGCGGTACAATCACAAAAAACGCCTGCAGGTCGCACGAAAGTGCGGCAAAGGGAGATAGTCCGTGTCGCGAGCACTGCAGCGCATAGATAAAAGGGTAAGCAAGTGGAAAAAAGCAAGCCCACGGGCTCCAAAGGGCCAACAAACACCGATCGCGTCCCAAACAAAATACCAGTCTCGTTGAGACTCGGTGAAAAGACGCAGCCCGAGCTGTCCCATGCCACGTCGCAGGTACACACCTATAAAAGTGCTGGACGGGGTGATTCTTATCACCGTCAGCAAAGCAATCCTGGTCGTCACCGTGGGAGAGGGTCCCACACTTCGCAGGGCAGTTCTTACCACCACGAAGGTTGTAAGAATACCCCGCACCTTTCATCGCCATCACATGCCTCTAGTCAGCGTATGTCAAGAGTGGCTGGAACCGCCGGCCGAGGCGAAGAGGAACCCGACCTCCGGACATTCCTCAATCGTAATCGCGAGAATCGAACTCGCATGGGTGAAAGCAACCCCCAAGTGGCTCCATTGTCGAAAATTGAGGAGCTGTAGCGAGCTCTAGACAGGCTAAGGGCTCAACAAAATGAGCAGGGACAGGTCGCATCTGCGTCCCCCTTCTCTCCCAAAGTGTTAGCTGCTCCACTCCCACTGGGATTCAGGATGCCCAACATGCAGGCGTTTGATGGAAATTTTGATCCGCAGGATCATCTATATGAATTTAATGACCTGATGGAGCTTCACCAGGTCTCGGACTTGGCAAAATGCCGCTGTCTAGCAGTGACATTGACCTCCCATGCCAAGTGATGGTTCAGGTCACTCCCAGCAGTATCGATCAGTTCGTGGCCTCAGATGAGCACGACGTTCCTAAAGCATTTCCAAGCGAACCAGAAATTTTCGATGCCTTTGAGCTACCTCAGTAATATAAGCCAAGAAAGGGATGAATCCTTCCAGTCTTACATTGACCGTTTCCACAGAGAACTCAACAAGGTGGCTCATACTCCCGAAGAGTCTGTTCGGACTCTCATCATAGCCGGGGTTCGCCCACAAACCGACCTGTGGAAAGAATTACAAGCTGAGGACGATGTTTCCCTCACAGGATTCTACAACCTTGCAAAAAAGTACCTTCGAATAGAAAATTCATTGGCGGCACTCCGCCATTGAGACCCCGGCGCTTCGAGCAGTATGTCTGGTCGGGGGGAAAGTAGAAGAGCTGATCGTAGAGGAGACACTGATGATTAGCGAAAAGGGAAGAAACCCCGCTACGAGCACAAAAAGTTCTATGCTCTTGTTCCTCGTCGCGATCGCGATAGACTTCAATATACTCCACTAAATGTGTCTGTATCTGCCATTCTTGATAAATCCAAGGAGGCCAGTCTGCTCGGTGAGTCAGAACCCATGAAAACTCCTGCGACGGCTAGAAACAACAAAAAATACTGTCGCTTCCATCAGGACAATGGGCATCATACCGATGAGCGCCGAACTCTAAAACAAGAAATCGAAGAGCTCATCAAGAAAGGGCACTTCAAGGAGTATATTGATGACTCCGCTCTCGCAAAAGAGAAGAGCCAAGAGGAACAAAGGAAAAAGCGTCGTGATCGTAGAGGGTATAGTAGCGTCAACATAATCTTTGGAGGACTGCACCTCGCGGGAAACACGCGAGGTGCGTAGGAAAGGTACGCTCGCGAAGCTCATCACGACCCGATCAGGGTGATGAACACATCGCAGCGACCACAAAAGGCTCGAAAGGAGGAGCCGATCACCTTCTGCGAGAAGGAGGCAGCTCGCTTGCATCATCCTCACAACGACGCCTTTGTGATCACGCCCCTCATAAGGCACCATAACATCCGCAGAATACTCGTGGACAACAGAAGCACTGTGAATATTCTGTTCCAGACCGCTTTCGAAAGAATGAACCTGGACGAGGCCAACCTGAAGCCCGCCTCAATCCCTCTTTACGGCTTTATAGGGGACCACCTGATCCCCAAAGGAATGATCCAACTCCCAGTCACACTGAGTGACTACGACGAGGTGACTAAGGTAACTAAATTCTTGTTCATGGATTGCCCATCGGCCTTCAATGGAATCCTGGGGCGACCCCTATTGAGAAGCTTCAAGGCAGTCACTTCCATATACCATCTCAAGATGAAGTTCCCCACCCCAACGGGGATAAGGGAAGTGAACGGATCGCAAAGCGCATCTTGCGACTGCTACATAAAAGCGGTGTAGATGGCATATAAAGGAAAGGGCATTTCGCGAAGTACTCCCCGACAGGCTATGGCGATTAGCTAGATCGAGCAACAGCCTGGCCTAGCAGAGGATAATATGGATCCTCGAATTCAGGAAATCCCTTCCAGCGGCCCAGTTGGGGATTTGTCCGAGGTATCAGTCGATCTGAAAGAGCCGAGCCGAGCCGAGTGTTAAGAATCGGGAGCAGTCTCAACCCTCAACTCGCGTTCGAATTAATAAGTTTCCTGAGAGAAAATATCGATGTGTTTGCCTGGTCGCACACGGATATGGTCGGGATTAGCCTGGATATCATTTTTCATGCGTTAAACATCGACAGTAAAGCAAAGCCAGTTCGCCAGAAAAGAAGAGCAATGGATCCGGAGCGGTATGCCGCCTTGAAATTAGAAGTGGAAAACCTATTTCAAAATGGGTCCATCTGAGAGGCGCTCTACCCAACCTGGGTTGCCAACCTGGTTCTGGTAAAGAAGCCAAATGGCAAGTGGTGAACCTGCGTCGACTTCAGCGACCTCAACAAGGCTTGCCCTAAAGACAGCTTCCCTCTGCCAAGCATTGACTAGCTCGTGGATGCCACCTTAGGGCACGAGCTGCTAAGTTTCATGGACGCATACTCGGGATACAATTAAATTTCGATGTATGGGCCAGACGAGGAGCATACGTCCTTCATTACAGACCAGGGGCTGTATTATTACCAAGTCATGCCTTTTGGCCTCAAGAATGCCGGTGTGACCTACCAGCAATTGGTTAACCGAATGTTCTTTGACTAGATCGAAAAGACAATGGAGGTCTATGTGGATGACATGCTGGTCAAATCCCAAGTCGCCTCAGAGCACATTGCGCATCTCGCTGAGATGTTTGACATCCTCCGGCTGTATAAAATGAAACTGAATCCTCTCAAGTGTTCGTTCGGAGTATCGTCAGGAAAATTCCTAGGGTACATGGTTAACCAGCGAGGGATGGAAATAAACTCCGAGAAGATTCAAGCTCTACTCGATATGGAGAGCCTGACCAGCAAAAAACAGGTCATGTGTCTTAATGGGCGAATAGCGGCACTTAGTCGCTTCATATCGAAGCTAACAGATCGCTGCTTACCATTCTTCAATGTCCTAAAGGCCAACAAGAAGTTCGAGTGGACACCTGAGTGCGAACAGGCGTTCCAAAGCATAAAAGAACACCTCGGGAAACCACCTCTCCTGTCCAAGCCTTTTCCACATGAAATCCTGCTCCTGTACCTGTCCGTCTCTCAGTTCGCGGTTAGTGCAACTCTAATTCAGGAAGAGGAAAAGGCACAATGTCCAGTATACTATATGAGCAAGTGTCTGACGGATGCCGAGATACGGTAACCGAAAATGGAGCGATTAGCCTATACCCTACTGATCGCTTCTAGAAAGCTGCGACCTTACTTTCACGCCCATGCTATACATGTGATGACCAGTTACGCACTCAGGCAGGTTCTCCAGAAGCCAGAGGCCTTAGGTAAATTGCTTAAATAAGCCATGGAATTGAGTCAGTTCGATCTGAAGTACAAGCCAAAATTGACTATCAAAGGGCAAGAAGTTGTTGACTTCATCTCAGAATTTTCCTATCTTCCGAGTGAGCAACAGCCTAGCGAAGCCATTCAGGAAAATATTCAGAACCTGTCGACCTGGAGCCTCTACGTTGACGAGTCATCGAACAGGAAAAGGGCCGGTGCAGGTCTTTTCTTTGTGAGCCCCGAAGGGGCTCACATTCATGGCATTCTTCGGTTCTAATTTAAAGCAACCAACAATGAGGCTGAGTATGAAGCTCTGCTCGCCGGGTTGCGGTTGGCCAGAGAAATGGGTGCAACCGCGATCAGTGTCTACAGTGACTCCATGCTGGTCATCAACCAAATTTTGGGGAAATATCAAGCTAAGAAAGAAAACATGGTCCGTTATTTGAAAAAAGCTAAGGCCGCACTTGAGCCGTTCAAACACTTTGAAATCACTCAGATTCCCAGAGATAGTAACTCTGTGGCGGACGCCCTGGCAAGGATAGCCTCATCGTTGGATTTAGAAGCACCAGATAACATTCCTGTTCAGTTCGTCAAGGCTCCAAGTATCAGCCCGACCGAACAGGCCGTGAATGTGATGCAATCAGATTCCTGGATGACTCTCATTTTCCAGTACCTCAAGGATGAGATCTTGCCATACGACAAGGTCAAGGCAAGGGTCCAGCGAACAAGATATGCTCGGTACACCCTCATGAGGGACCAGCTGTATAGGAGAGGATTTAGTGCCCCTCTTCTCCGATGTGTAACCAGCAAAGAAGCAGACTACATCATGAAGGAAATTCATGAAAGGATCCGCGGTAATCACACCGCCGCTCGATCTCTTGTAAACAAGGTTGTTCGTCAAGGGTACTATTGGCCCCGAGTTCAAGATGACGCTTACAACTTTGTAAAGAGGTGCGATAAGTGTCAACAGTTCGCCAATATACCGTGAGCTCCTTCCCACGAACTGATAACTATGACTAGCCCTTGACCTTTTTCTATGTGGGGGATCGATCTCATCGGCCCCATGCCAGTTGGAAAAGGGGGAGTCAAATATGCCGTGGTCGCGGTAGATTACTTCACCAAATAGGTAGAAGCCAAACCGCTAGCCGCAATCACGACCAGAAAACTCAAAGACTTCGTTTTCAAGAATATTGTGTGCCGCTTTGGAATTCCTCACACCTTCATTTCAGATAATGGAAAACAATTCGACAACGAGGAATTCAAACAGTTTTGCGACAAGCTGGGCATCCATAAGAAATTCGCCTCTGTCACAAGACCACAAACAAATGGTCAAGTTGAAGCTGTCAACAAAACCATCAAGCACAATCTGATGGCCAAACTTGACGCAGCCAAAGGAAATTGGGCCGACGACTTCCCCGAAGTACTATGGGTGTACAGAACAACTCCAAGAACCTCCACCTCGGAAACACCCTTTTCGCTGGCATATGAGTGCGAAGCAATGATTCCCGTTGAGGGAGGAACTGGTTCATGTAGGAGAGACTTGTACAATGACACCGACAACAAAGCATTCATAAGGGTGAGCCTAGACGTTGTTGAAGAACATCGCAGCAAGGCTTCGCTAAGGATAGCAGCCTATCAGCAATGCACGTAGAAGTTCTTCGATTCAAAGGTCTGGTGAAGAGACTTCCAGGTCGACGATCTGGTGTTAAAGGAAGTTCTTCTCAGAACCAGGGAACCAAGTGCAGGAGTTTTAAGGTCGAACTGGGAAGGTCCGTACCGCATTGATAAAGTAATCAGACCAGGGACTTATCATCTCAAAAGGTGGAACGGTTCCAAGTTATCCCGAGCTTGGAATGCTGAGCACCTTCGGGCATACTATCAGTAATTCCAAACCCAGCTTTCCTTGTAAATTAATTTCTGATTTTTGTAAGTCGTTTCTTTGTAAAATTTTATCTCGAGCGTTTGTAACAATCTTTGTATGTGAGATATGTTATCTTTGACTCAATGAATGTAAGCAATCAGAAAGTACTCATGTATAATGAAACGAACAGAAATTGTATAAGTCAAAAATGTGAATTTTATTAATAAGGAGTACATAGGCAAAAAGATATGGCTGAGAACCCTAAATTGACTCCTAAAGAGGCGACCTCGACGTCCTAAGGCTGGTCAGTTGGAGGTTTGTCTGAAGCATGTCCCAAACCACCCGCTTGGGAGGTCGCTGCTTCATCATCCTCCCGCGCCATTGTCATAAGGGTTTCGCGTCAGTCCTCCGGGAGGTTGGACATGTCGAGTCACGGATTCCTTGGTCGTAGGGCATAGATAGACTCGATCGCCCATTCGGCAGCCCTCTCCTCGACCTCCGCAGTCTGTTTCTACATCTCCTCTGTCAAGGAAGCAACTTTCCCTTGACTTTCCTGAAGTTCAACTTCAAGAGCTTGCCTTAGCTTCTCAGAAGCCTCTCTCTCCTACTCTGCTCGCGAGACCTGCAGGGAGGTCGCTTTCAGTTCCTGGTCCTCCTTCTCGGCCTGCTTGGAGAGTCTGGCTATGGTCCTTTGCAGCTCCTTTATCTCTTCTCACTGCTTCTTGAGCTGCGTCTTCTAGAAATCAACTGTGAGAAGAGCCGCGTCCCTTTCGTTCTGGAACCTGTTCGCCGATTCGGAAGATAAGTTTCTCTCCGTTTCGGCGGCTTCCAGTCTTCGCCTGAGTGTTATGTTCTATTCCTTCAATGTAACCTCCCCCTTTGCGGCTCCCAGTTGCGGCTCCCAGTTGAGCCTTCTCCAAAGACATTCGCATGTAGAGAAGGGCCTACGAATAAAGAAAGATAGAGTTAGTAAATCAAAAGAAGCTAAGGATAGTCCTCACCAAGGACAGTTCGCTCACCTTGCTTAAGTGCTGGACCGATGTGGACATTAGGTCGACATTGTTGAAATTTGTGAACTACTCGAATGATTCCGAGAGTCCGCATTCCAGTAAGGTATAAACCACCGGTTACAGGTACTCTGGAAGGTTCCCCAGCGAGTCCAACACTGGGGTATCCTTCTTCGTGCCTTCAGTAGCGGCCGCGTCGACCATCGGTTCCTTGCCCGACCTCCTTTCAACATCCTTCTTCGACCTCTTCAGCTGCTCGCCCTCAGATTCGGTCTTTGACTCCTTGACCTGAATCTGCCTCCTCTTCTTTCGCTGAGCCATTGTTTTCATCTTTGGGCGAGTAGGCGACGGCTGGGAGACCTTCATGGTTCGCATTGGCGCGTCTTCCGCCGGCGGCTGCTGAGAAGTTTCGGAAGGTCGTGCTGGTTGGCCCGAGGTCATGCCCTCAGTCGAGGGGACGGTTTGAGCAGTTTTGGCCGCCTTAGCTTTCTTCAACCGAGGAAAATTAAGAGGCCTTCGCCGAGGCTGCTCTGGCTCCTTTGGTGGCATGGTTGTTGCATACAAGACAACGTTAGTGAAGGCATTCTATTCCATGACTAGGAAGAGAATCAGTTAGCAGAGCTTACTCGGTGGACGCGCTTGCGTTAAAGAAACTGTATTTTCACAAATTCGCGGTCGTCACAAGTTTCTTCGCGTCGAGCTTGTCCTCTGGTAGGGAGCCGAAGTGCAGGATTCTTCTCTTATCGTGGAGCAGCCCTATTTCGATCGTCTTGTTAACTATCAAAAAGAAAAAATTAGGTCGTTAGAACGGACACGCTTCGAACGCAATGAGTTCGCCAAAACAAAGCAAAAATGCAAACGAAGAGAAAGAGGCATACTCGGTTCTTGGAAGCGGCAATGACCATCGTAACGAAAGAAGAAAAACTTCATTTCGTAGGCCCCCGCGTTGCTGGGATAACTGTGTATCCCGTCGGCAATGGTTGGTCGCCTGGACAAGTAATATGAGTCCTTATCCTTGCTCTTTTTCAGAAAATACGAGCAGTCGAGCTCCAAGGCGGTCAGCTCGCCCAGCCCATTTTCCTAGCATGCAATGTACATTGCAACAGCAATGACGTATGCGTTCGAGGTCAACTGCATCGACGCGACCCCGAAGTAGTCTAGAAACGGCTTGATGAAAGGGTATAGGGGGATAAGTCCTCCACCCTTGATAATCTCCTCGGAGATCGTGGCCAGGCCGCTTGACGGGTATCGCGACGAATGTGTCAGGTCGTGGAAAACGTCCACCTCGATACCGTATTGGCTTATTACCCTCTTGAGCTCTTCCTCGGTAAGTACCGAGAAAACCTCGAGAGGGGTGCTAGGAGCACCCTGCGGGGACGAGCTGGTTCCCTGCTCGGAACTGGCTGCTGAGGAGTCCATTTTCCCAGTCTGCAAAAGCGACAAGGAAAATGGTTATTTGGCCTCTGTACGCTATGTCGTACGATGACGTGGGAGAACACAGACTCCCCAATTGTCAAAGAAAACCCTAACAGCCCGATTCGAGCCACCATTCATGGCTCGAACCCGACGCAAACGTTTCGTCTCTGATGGGTTATCGAAAGACTGACGCCATTAACTCATGAAAATAATGAAACAATGGCAGAGAAGTTCTTACCTCTTGGAGTATGACGACTGTTTCTGCTTCAAATGCCGGAAAAATGCAGGTTTGGAAGACAAAGGTTCCTGGTTTATGAAAGTCTTTTGTTGTCTGTGAAAAAGGCTCTGGTGACATTGCCTAATAACGATTTGAGGTTTTTATAGTGTGTGAATCGGTGTTTGGACCTCCCGGAATTGAAACGACATTTGGGCGGCAAAGGTTTCTGCCGTTGATCTCGACCACATGTCACTCATCAGTAGAGAAGGGTGAACGAAACGATTGGATAAAGTCAAACTTTCATCCTTCTAGTTGAAAAGCTCAAACGACGGCCATACCTCTCTCAGAGCATTAATTGCGTCTCAAATCCTCATTTAATGCTCTGATAAGGGGCGTTGTTCCAACGTAAAATGCATTTAATGTTCTGGTAAAGTGCACTGTTCCAGCATGCAACGCATTAAATGTGATTGGCTGTCATTCATCACGCAAAAAACACACCTGTCAGCGCTGGGATTGCTTCATTAAATGCATCCCTATCACCAGAACAACGTGTGACGTCAGACAAGATCAGGCCGCCCGCCCTCTGCAAACAATGAACATGCGAGGTCACGCTCATAAAAATGCCATCCCAACCTACTTTCAAACTGGCCAGAATTTCCAGAAATCATCCCGTTGTGGCATGACTTATAGTTTCCAAGGTTCAATTCTCAAACCTTAAAAACTAGGGTACTTTTGTTATGCCTAAAGAATATAAGGGCTAACGTCAGGTCCACTTAGCCCACAAAAGTCAAAACATTGGGACAACCACCGCCTGTTCCCGTCAGGATAGTGGGTGCACGTCAGGCTAGTCAAGAGCCGTGGTGCTCCCACGTGTTCAATCCCTGCTCTAAATCGCGCAAATCACTCTGGAAGGTGGGCAATGTGACATAAAGAAGGATTTGCATGAATAATCCCACCAACTTACAGATTTAGTGATCATTGCCTCATTACATCTCACTATAAATTGGAAGCTCATCTCTCATTGAAGGGGATTGGCACATTTTACACTTGATTAATTATCCTCTCTTTCCTAGAATTCTTAGCATTCAATACCTTGTAATATTATTGTAAAGTCAGTCAGCTAAAAGCGACCTGACCTTTATCATCAATATAAGCATTAGTGGATGTAGGAATTGATACCTTAGCATCCGAACCACTTTAAAAACTGTCCTCATTGCATTTACTATCTCTTTATCCATTACATTCACGTGTGTTTTCTGAGTCAGCACAGCATTTCACACGTGCGTTTCGTTGGTGCAAAAATCACGCATCAACAATAATGTTCATTAATTACAAGGAAATTGAAAGAAACTGGAATAGTTTCATAGGTTAACCTTTCTTTCCAATTGGATTAATTGACCATGAGAGAATATTCAAGGGAATCCATGCTTGACTTGGAAAAAGGGTATAGGACTAAAGAATCTGAGCAATTCTACTGAATGGTTTGGGATTGATTTTTAGCTTGAACAATTCTAGAGCTTATTTCGGAGTCACTTCACGGTGTCTACAGTACCATTTCCGAGCTCTTCTTTTAAGTCATTCCCATTTTTTCTTTTTACATCTCTTACTATGGTCGGACAGAACCGATGATTTTGAAGGATTTTAAAGGAAATAATCAAGTTTGTTAATCAATGTCAACACCAAAAGCATTTCCTTAACTTCTTTGAACTACTTGTGCGCAATACAGCTGTAATTGTTATTAATGGACTTTCAGCATCAGGCTCGTCACAATCCTTTGAACTTTCTAAGACGCGTTATTCTTTTAATTTCCCCCCGTAAACCATGCCATTCATGGTCCCAAAATCTTGGAAAGGCATTCAACACGATTGTCTTGAGTTACGGTAAAATTTTCATGGCCAATTGCAACACAACAGGTTTTCAGTTGGAAATAATCAGATAAGCCAGAATTCTGCTATTACATCGCAATCTTGGGAGCTTTAATGTATCATAGGGTCCATGATGGACTGTGTTTGTGACAGTTCCTGGAATTTTCATATATATACAGATAACTTGTTCAGCAAAGTTGAATGACTCATAACAGTTTCTATTTTCCAGTCAAACTCAAAGTTTGGAAGTTGCTGTCATAGACAATCTTCCTGTTGAACATGTTTGCAAAATGCCAGGTTTCATACACATACAAGATAAGCCCATAGAGTCAATTTTCTGGAGCAACTTTTTTCCATATATCATGTCTACAGTTGGGTCCAGCTTCTGGTGGAATTTGGATGTGTGTAAAACATCATTGACAATGACAAATCATTCAAAGTCAGATTCACATTTGATAAAATTCTTTGTCATACATTCTAACTCCCAATTAACGCCAACCCGGCAATTTTGAACAGAGATGTTAAGATGGTTTGAGTTTCATTTCGTAATTTCTTCTAAGACTTTTGTTCTTCCAGCATCAAAATCGTACCAACTTAAACCCATCTTTCTAATTCCTCTCTGAAACAAATCCATCATACCTAATTAAATGTTCTTCAGTCATTTTTGGGCCTTGGGCATCTGAATTTGTCCCAACAGATAGCAGATCTACAGATGGGATTGTAGTCGATTTTAGGAGAACCATGGAAAATCTTTTTTTTTTTTTTTTTCTTTTAATTTATGATAGGTCAGCTTATGAGCGCTTACGACCTTAAAACTATGGATTAGATAAAAACTTCAATGATTACTTCTATTAGCATTCGAGAAAAGATTCCAACTTAATACCTGTTATTTATTTTTAAACAAATGTTTGCTTTCAAACATGATGTTGGCAGAGTTTTAATTAAATTCCTATCTGACATTATGAGGCTCACTTAGTAATCATTTTCAACTAATGTTTTTTTAGTGGATAGACATCGGAATATCAGTTACGTTAATCCTTGGATCATGTTATAATTTAGTAATTTACTTTCAGTTAATTGCCCGTTAAATTTAATGGACGTTAAATCACTGTAAATGTCCGTTATAAAGACGTTAGTTGTAATATGTGTCAAATGCCGTTACGTTTACCGTCCATTGAAATCAGGACAGTCAATTCATCGTCAAATCAACACACCTTCAGGTTAACGGCTTAACGCCTTAATCTACACCGCTGATTTTCGTCATTAGTCAGATTGTCCTTACGTTTAATGCCGTTATAAACCGTTAATGTAACGCCTCGTTATCTTACCGGTAAATATAATGCATTTGTTATATCATTGTTAAATTTAATGCCCATGAATTCACCGTTAACTCGGTACTACCGTTTATACCCATAACCCACTAACTTACCGTTACAGTAAACTAACGTCCGTCTTTCAGCGTTAAAATTTTTTTTTCTGTCGTTTATATTTCTTAAATTTGAAGGATTTTCTTACAAATTTTTCTCAATTGGAAGCAAGTAGAGTATATTCAAATTTTAGAAGGTAAAAATGTGTGAATCAATTTGTTTTCTTTTTTATTTGATGAAATTGATAGCATATCTGCTCGTAGTCACTTTTGGCGAACCATGACATGAAAAAAATATCATTGATTGTTTGCTTAACTTCATATTTTTCAAACATGATGTTCGCAAGGTATTTGATTAAATTCCTAACATTCATTTCCATCCTGATGTAACTCTATGAATTCCCAGCTCTACTTTTGATTCACTAGACAAAATATGGGTGAAGATTCACTGTATGTTTCTTTATATTTTCAGGACAGTGACAGGCTCTCAGCATTTGCTGGTAATTTTCTGGTAAATGAGTTGTAATGTTCCAGTTCCTCTATTGACTATTTCTTATAGCATTTTCGAATGTCATCCATGTAACAGCTTCGAGATCTTCTCTTGCAGCATGGCTTGGCATTTTATTGACCAGGTTTACTTTGACTCTATTTATATATGTATCTTGCGGACTTACTTTCTAGCAAATGTAAATATATTTAGCTTGTTTTTTCATGTTTGTTGGCATTATATTGCTTGCTAATTTATTGTTTTGTTTTAATTTATTGAAACAAGATATTGGGAAAGAAGTGCTGAAGGGGTTTGATCAAATAGCTAATTAAGTGTTTGGTTAAATGCCAAAGTGAACTTAAAAGCAGAACACCTCAATATTTATTTGAATTTGTATTCTTTCAGAGAATAATGGCATTTTTAACTGAATTTTAAACAGATAGACTTCAAAAGCGGTTAAATTATTCTTAAGCTCTATATGAGGCCATTATGAAAATCGCATCAGTTCTATAGCATTGAACTAGTCGTTTGCCTATAGCTAGGGGATCACCCACTTAATTGGGATGTTGAATTTATGAAAGCAATTACCTTTAAAAATGTTGGGGGTATATAAAAACAAATACCTTGAAAATGTCAGGTGGGGTTTAGCATTGCATGGATTAACAACTGATAATTTATCTTCTGTAGACATTAATATATCAGATAAATGATAGAAGTGTATGGATGTTTTGATCACTCTTCAAAATGAGACTCTAATTTAGAAATTGTTCAACTAGTTTTCCTCTCATTAGTGTAGTATTTACATACAATTATACTAAGATAACAAATATTTGAATAAAAAAGTTAAATAAAAACTAAACTGATATTAATTTAACTCCTAAAACATATGTACAACTTTTAGATTGTAATCGTCTATGATTTACATGAGTATTCTACAGTATATTTTCATGATGGGCATAGCATGAATTATTTATCTACCTACCATCATAGTTATGGTTACCACATTTTCAGTGTTTGATTCTTCTTGTCTTGATAATGGTTCTGTATCAGCAGCACTTCTTTCAATGAAGAAACCAGGCTGTTTCGGTTGAGGCAATGTTGCTCCCTCGTTTGCCAACATGAAAGCTGCAGATGATATGTCTGGTGTGTCCTCTGGAAACTTTTGAACACATAATAAACCCACCTGAATGCATTGTAGTACTTCAAATTTAACACATGAATCCTCCAAACATGAATCCATAAGTTCTACGGCCTTGGTTTCATTCCAAAGCAACCATGCCTGCACAATTGGAAACCCATATCCCATACGCACAGAAATGAGTCATAGCCAGAGAGAGGATATATATATATATCTTACACGTTTCTACTTACATGTCCTAGGAGGTTGTGATGGTGAGCTGGGTGAGAGAACCCTCTATTCTTTTTGCCACTTACTATCTCTAGCAGAAGTACACCAAAACTAAAAACATCACATTTTGCTGAAAAGGTTCCATCGGTTGCATACTTAGACGACATATAGCCACTGCATAAAGAAGTATTAATTATAAACCATTTCACTAACATACATATGTTAATAGTTGATAGAACTTACAATGTTCCCATGACTCTGTTTTTGCATCTTCATCGTCATCTCTGAAGATTCTTGCCAAGCCAAAGTCTGAGATTTTAGGGTTTAGATATTTGTCTAGTAAAATATTACTTGCTTTGAGATGTCTGTGAATAATTTGAAGTTTAGAATCTTGATGGAGATAGACAAGTCCTCTTGCAATCCCCATAACTATCTCAAACTGCTTTGGCCATGTCAATAATTCTCTTTTCTTCGGATCTGCACATCAAGTTAATGTCATATTTAGATCTTTTACATTATGGTTTCAGAAAACAGGAAGTCTTAATATCATATTAAGCCTGAGTAATCAAAATTTATCTGACGTACTAGATGCTTAATGGTCAAAGAGGCTCTAACCGAAGATAAAATAATTCAAGCTTTTATTAGGCATGTACTCATAGATCAAAAGCCTTTCTTCTCCTTGACTACAGCATCCCAAAAGTGCTACAAGATTCTTGTGTTGAAGTTTGGCAATTAAAGTTGCTTCATTCCTAAACTCTTTGCCTCCCTGCCTAGAATTCTTTGACAACCTTTTGACTGCTATTTCTTCTCCATTAGAAAGAATGCCCTGCTTATATTTATACAGAAGATTAATGACATTAAAAAAAAAAAAAAAATCCCTAGATTCTTGAAAGGAGAAGAAACCTTTCAGCTGACAGTGGAAAAAATATAAATAGTTTTTACCTTGTAAACGCTGTCAAAGCCACCAACTCCAATAAAGTCTTCCTCAGAGAAATTTTTTGTAGCAGTCATAACAGTAGAGAGTTCAACTAGAGGTACCTCAATCTCCTCACTGTTTTCATGGCTTGTTCAATGGGTTACAGAAAGAAAAACTGACTATCAATACATAATATCTCCGCCATATTATATTATGTTCTTTGTTTTTGGTAAGATTGGATGAATACTGTTACCTCTTTTCTTTGTTTTCTTCCAAAGTTTGAAGAGTACTAGGCCCAAGAGCAACAATCCAGAAACAAGCGAAACAACAAGGATAGTTATCCTTCTTTTCTTTTCATTATCTGACTCAACAACAGCGAAATAAAGAAAATAAATTTGTTAAAAATTACCTTTCATCTGGTTGATTTATCAGGCTTATTTCTTTTTGCAGGAATGCCTTCACAGTAAACTGTATTATAGTTTCTACTTTAGCCACTTTCATTTGTCCCAAGTATATGGACATTCGACATAATACATGAACATCAAATCTGAAAGTAAAGTCCCCAGGGAACGGTCAATGGATCAATATTATTTCTCCATGACATTAAATGTCAAGCCTGGTAATTGTCTAGTCAAAGCTCAGCCACATATAACTTTTGGATGCTAAAATCATGTATATGAAAAAGCTTTCCTACTTGTCTAAGAGTTGAACTGGATTTTCTAATTCTCTGGGCATGTTCAAGACCAGCTAGTGCCCTTTGCTAATGTTTGGACTCCATGTGGATCAATGATGGGGTAGTTTATATTTTAGCCTACTCAACTTTCTCAGGGATCTTATTGTACCATTTTGGCTGATGCCTGTTGGAGTTTAAGGGAGAGGAGCATAGCTCAAACCTTTGAGATGATTAATCAAACATCTCCCTATGATGGATAAATCCTGGTGAACTTGTGGAAGAAGCTTCCAATGGTAATTTAGCTGATAAACGATGAAAAAGCCAAAGATGAAGAAGAAAGGAAGTTTCTCTTTTCATAGATCTGCAAAAGAATGTTGAAATGCTGGAAGAAGGATTTATTCATGTTATGAACATAAAGATCTTTCAAAGCAAACATCTTCTTTCTTGATTGTGCACTTGCAACTCTGATTAATGAGAAGATACTAATTCTTTTTCAGTCTAAGACATCAAAAGGGAAAGGAAGTAAACAAAGAGGACAACATTTCCATGCTTGGTTTTCCTGCAAGGTGGACTAAAGCCACAGGTCAAGTAGATTGCTTTAGCTTTATTGTTGTTAGTTAATTGTTCAGATTACTAATTTCTATTTATTTATTTATTTTTGTAGATTTTGCCACAGAAACCCTAATCCTAGATTCCTTTAACACAAATTATTGGCTATAGAGAATCAGCTGGGGTGACGAATTCTCAAATAGCCTTAAAAATGAATGAGCCAGTAGTACATCAAATAACACACATACCTAGTTCAGATGCTGGAACTCGAAGAAAAATATCTTGTCCCCAGGTGTATTGTTTTGAGCACTCTTCCATATCTGTCAGGTCCTTGAACCACATCAAACAGCCTGTACCTCCCCTAGTTAGATTGGAATTCGCGTAAGCCCTGCATGAACAGTTCTTGGTACATGCTGTTTTACATTCTTTGAGATTCATACTTTCGTTATACCAATCTATGTCAGGCAGTTTCATTCGCGGAAGCTTCAGAAACCCTTCTCCCCTTGGGCAATCTGATGGCAATTTCTTTATGCACTCCGTTGTTTGAGGTGTATTCCATTCATCTTGAGATTTGGGCACATACCCTTTCAAACACCCACAAATAGGTGTCTTACTAATTCTGCAGTTGCCATTAACACCGCACTCTTCATAATTGTCGCATAGATTAAATGGCCAAGAGTACATGACACACCATTCATTTCTCCCCTCATTCCAAACATAATGATGTATGGTTCCTGATCGATCCAATACTAAACGTGTGATAACTGTAGTATTGAATGGGTTATACGTAAAATACAACTCATCTTGGTTATCCACCAATCTCGGTATAAATATCGAGTTCTGAATCAGGGGAATGCCACCAAACCTGTATCCATTCCATGGTCCACTGCGGGCCACTTTTTTTGATCCTGTTCGAAGAATCAATTGAGGTAACTCAGTAATATCAAGTCTGTAAGTTGAGTCTCCAGGGGATGGATCATCAGCACTTCTCCAGGACGTTAGATATCGCTCAAATCCAGTTCTTAAGTTCCATCTCAACTTCATGCCTGATAACAATGTATCTAATGGAAGCTCTGCGACGCATAACTACCAGAACTCGTGTCAGTATTTTCCCTAAGAACAAGGTTTCCAGAATCTAGGAGCTGTGCCACTGGATATTCTGGCACACTTGATGAATTTGAAGACCAAATAATGCTCTTTTCTCCATTGAGAAGTACAAGGTTTCCATCATTGTTCACTGTTAAAACTCCATTCTTATCAGTGATTGGATTGTTTCTGTTTGCAACCCATACAACTGTTCCAGGACTAATCTTGTACCATATTCCGAGGTACCGGTTGTTTGAGTTGCCTGGAGAGAAGAAGCCTAGCTCAAAGCTTTGGAATGAGGAAATTAATGTTTCAGTACCATCTCTAATAGATTGGCCTGCAGTTATTGTATCAGCTGCAAATAACAACTCCCCGATTGATAGAATGATCAAAGACCAAACGGAGATCCGGAGTAGAAGGCGGCTCATTCTTGTTTATGAGAGAAAAATTGCAAACTGTATGCATGTTAAACAAGGAGTTTTCAACTGTTTCATAAGTTTAATCACAGTTGACCTTCTATTGGTGAATGGTTGAACTTGATGATGATATCTGCTCTACAATATGTATATTTTATTAGTATGAAATTCTGAGGAACCTGAGGAATTATTTTATTTAAAGAGAAAACAACTGGATGGTTCAAACAACATGCGTGTAAGTCCAAGAACGATTAAAATAAGAAATCGAGAAAAGAATTACTCCGGCTCTCCTTGGAAACAACATCAGTCTTGAAGCAGCATCTTCCTCACTGCTTGGGGGTAAGATTCTAGCAATGCTACTTCAAGGGTAGTTTTAGAAGTTGACTAGTCTATAAGACTATAGCTATTAAGTAGCATTTTCCGTTTTGGTTTTCTGTAGCTTTCTTACTCAATTCCACTGCTTTTTCTTTCTCCTTTCTAGTAAAATAATACTTTAGCAATAAAGATAGACCAATAAATTATTTTCATTAACTTTCTCTCATAAACTCGACGTTTCAATTCTCAATTGATCAGTTGTGACCTACTACAAACTGTCACGTTTCGTTTGTGAAAGAAAGTTAATAAGAAAGGTTTGTGAGCGTAGTATTATCCAATACTTTAGATACCTGTTGACATCAGTAGTTCTTCATTGGTTCTAACGTTGATGATTGGTAGGCTTTGTTCAATACTCAGTAATCGCAAGGAAAAGAGAAGGAATATCATTTACCTGTCCAAGAAATTGGAATCATTGATTAAACAATTAAGTCATATCAGAGTAGGTGAATATTACCTCTTATATTATATATTTTTTCCAGGAAAGTGACAACTGGCAGGATCTCATGAGTAATTGCAGAGAATTTTCTAGTATATGAAGTGATGTTCCATTTCCTAAATATGTGTAAGTTCCTCATGCCTTTTCAGATTCTTTTGTTGCATCATGGCTTACCTCTTTCTTAACTCATGCTGACTTTGACTCTATTTGACTACTTGTCATTTCTTTTCTTTAACCAACTGATATATTATAAATGTATATGCATCTTTGACAATTCATAGAAATCGGGGATTGTAGCAAAATTTGATTTTTCACAGAATGAAGATTTCTGTCAAACGATTAATATCTTGACCATATTGAAAGGCTTATTACAGAAGAATTTTTAGAAGTCTATAAATCACAAAATTAAAGCATACATGAACACCTACCAATCTTGATGTATTGATGAACCACTGACTAAAGACTTTTATCTCATTGAAAAGAAGGCATGTTGACTTGTTGCTTTTAGTAGAAAAAGCATTCCTTCCTGTTTCATGGCCTTATTCGGAATTCTATGAGTTTACATAATGTGATAAAATATTCAACTGTAGTTTGTTCAATAATATAATAAAATAATATTACGCCCTATATACATTTTCACTACCTTACATTTATACATTTACCCCTAACTCCATACACATAACTTCTATCACTCTCCCTCAAGCTGGAGCATATATATCTATCATGCACAGCTTGTTACAAATATAAGTTACCCTTTTTCCAATTAGAGATTTAGTAAAGAAATCAGCTAGTTTCCCATTCTAACATGCTTAGTGGAAATTAATTTATGTTCAAGTTTCTTTTGCACAAAATGACAATCGACTTCTATATGCTTTGTCCGCTCATTAAAAACTAGATTCTTGGTTATATGTATGGCTGCTTGGTTATCACACCACAAGTCCATAATCCTTGGATCACCAATTCCAACTTCTCCAAGGAGATATCTTGTCCATATAAGCTCACAAGTTACTTGTGTCATAGCTCCGTACTCAGATCCTACACTTGATCTAACTACAACAGGTTGTTTCTTACTTTTCCAAGAAATAAGATTCCCTCCAACAAAAACACAAAATCTAGTTATAGAACGTCTGTCTATAGATGATCCTACCCAATCTGCATCTAAAAATCCTTCTATTTTACTGTGGTCATGATTACTATAAATGATCCCACGTCCAGGAGCCCCTCCAGATATTTCAAAATATGAAAAACCGCATCCAATGAGGTGTCCTAGAAGATGATATAAACTAATTTACCATACTCACTGAGAAAGTAATATCTGGACGAGTTACTATAAGATAATTCAACTTTCCAACTATTCGACTGTATCACTCTAGATCATCAAACACCTCTCCATCTTCAGTATTGAATTTTACATTAGGAACCATAGGAGTATCACAAGGCTTGGCTCTAGTTAGACCTGTTTCAGTCAACAAATCTAACACATTCTTGCATTAAGACAAAACAATCCCTCTCCTACTTCGAGAAACGTCAACTCCCACAAAATACTTTAAAGAGTCCAAGTCTTTCGTGTGAAATTTGGAAGCCAAAAAGATTTTCAAGCTATGAATACCAACACTATCACTACCAGTGATCACAATGACATCAACATAAACAACAAGGAAGAGAATACTAGAACTAGATTGCCTATAGAAGACAAAATGATCATAAGCACTTCTATGCGAACCAAATTCAATCACTACATTACTAAATCTTCCAAACCAAGCATGTGGAGATTGTTTCAAACCATATAAAGATTTCCTTAGTTTGTATACCTTTCCAAACTTCCCGTGAGCAACAAACCCTGGTGGTTGCTCCATGTAAACCTCCTCGAGAAGATCACCTTGAAGAAAGGCACTCTTGACATCAAGTTGGTGAGAGGGCCGACCGTAGGAAGCTGCAAGAGAATTAAGTAACTGAACAGAGGCCATCTTAACAAGAAGAGAAAATGTCTTCGAATAATCAATACCATATGTCTGATCATAACCTTTAACAACCTATCGAGCTTTCAACTAGGCCACAGACCCATCAAGATTAACCTTCACCGTGAAAACCCACTTATGCCCAATGACCTTTTTGTCACCAGGTAAATCAACGAGATTCCATGTACTGTTATGCTCAAGAGCTAACATCTCTTCTTCCATAGCCCTTCGCCATCCATCATGAGCAACTACTTCAGAGATTGAGCAGGGAACAGACACGAAATCTAAAGAGGCAACGAATGACTTGGAAGATAGAGCCAATGAGTTATAAAAAACAAAAGAGGAAATCGAATAAGTACAAAAGCGCTTACCTTTACATAGAGCAATGGGAAGATCTAGGTCAGAAGGAGGAGGATCCGAATCCAAGGGTGAGGCAGGCAGTAGGGGCAATGTCTCAAGTGTCTCAGATGTCGATACTGGTGCTAGTGCTGGTGCCACTTGCTGTGGTGGAGGGCGGCGAGAGTATATCTAAGTGACAAGAGGATGAGGCAGATGTTGAAAACTATAGTGAGTAATGGTATAAATAAGAAAATCATCAGTGACTAAAGAAGAAGATGGAATGGAATCGTCAACATACAAAGTAATTTAAAAAAATGAAACATCAACCAAGACAATATTCTTACCCAAAGTAGGAGAAAAACAACAATAGTCCTTTTTATACCGTGGGTAACCCAAGAATATACACTTGAGGGATCTAGGGTCTAATTTGGAATGATGAGGGCGAACGTCTTGAACAAAGCATGTACACCCAAAAATTTTGGGAGCGAGAGGGAACAAAGGTTGAGAAGGAAAAAGAATGGAGTAGGGTATTTAGCTAGATAGAATAGATGAAGACATATGATTAATTAAGTAACAGGTTGTAGAAATGGCATCTGTCCAAAACTCTTTAGAGAGTTTCATATGAAAGAGAAGTATACGAGCGACCTCTAAGAAATGACAATTTTTTCGTTCAGCAACTCCATTTTGCTAAGGTGTATACACACAAGACGACTGATGAATAATACTCCTATTGGACAAAAAAGAAGAGAGAGAAGCAGAAAAATATTCTTTGACATTATCACTCCGTAAAATTTTGATAGATGAAGCAAATTGGTTTTGCATCTCAACATAAAAGTCTCAGCATAAAAGACACAAAATATAGAGAATAATTCATAACAATTTTTCATAAAATATAGCCATGTATTCACAAAAGTAACAAAATGTTTATAACCAGATTTAGATAAAACAGGACAACGACCCCAAATGTTAGAATGTATAACATCAAAAGGAGCAATAGCTCGTTTATTTTTTCTACCATAAACCTGGTACATAAAATAGAGCGGAAACATCCTAGTTTTTAACTACACTCAATCCAGTACCTAGAGTGGAAACAATTCCAGTTTCTAAGACACCCTCCCCATGGTGTTTAATAACCTTACATAAAATACCCTGTGTTCTTACATTCTTTCATAATCTTGAATTGGTTCTCACCCTTATATTTATAGGTAGTATATGAGATATTCTATTTCTAATAGGATTTATATTTCAATTCCTAATAGGACTCCTAAAATTTATTCCTATTTACAATTGTATTCTTTATTAAATAGTTTTCCTAAAGATCCCAATAATCTCTACCTTGGCGAGTTTTCCATCATAGCCATGAACGTGAGAGTTTTCCATCACAACAATGAATATAATGAAGATAACGTCCACCATCACGGCATCCAGGTCACAGAGTCCATGTCAAATTCTGCTACCATCCAGGTCGCACAGTAACCATGTCAAATTTTGCCACCAAGATTTGAGAACCACTCCACCTACAACTTAAACTTGTTGTAGTCCGTCTTTTATATGCATCCACCATCTCGAAAGAAATCATCTCCTAGGTTGCAACTTGGAGCTCTGATACCATTTTGACCTACAACATGAGCATATTTATGGTTGCTCGACATAGTTGGAGGCTTTCCATCTAACTTTCAACAATTCCTTTTGACATGACCTTCAACACCATAATGGAAGCAAGTATGAGGACCATTACCATTACCATTACCACGAGTAACTCGATATCCCGACTAGCATCTTTATTCCCTCTACCACTATTAGACTTCATGCTAGCAAGAGCCGCATGATCTGGAGAGTCTCCCTAGCTTTAGATGCTCCTCTATCCTCCTTTTTACTAACCCCAAGAAAAGGAGCATAAACCTTCGTTAGAGAAGGAAGTTTGTAACTTGTAAGGAGTTAGTGTCTGAACTATCTCATATTCTGGTTTCAGCCCACCAGAAAACACTGCACCATCACTTGCTCTTTTTATTCTTTCATTTGCACAACATCTGCAATCAGAGGGAATATAGCTTTTTTTTCCTGAAAGGCTTGCTTCACCTCTGTTTAGTATTCAAGTAATGTCTTCTCTGGCATATTTGCTCAATAAATCCGCAATAATAGCTTATGAACATGAGACAAGTCCTGTTTACTAGCATACTCTAGATACTCCCATAACTCTTTAACTGTATCACAATGATTAGTAACATCATCCATTGTGGAAGCTAGATTATTCTAGATCTAATTAAACAATTTATCATTCTTCATGAGCAATTTCTTCTGAATTCTCCTAACAGTCTCTAATCTCTTATCACTATCCTCTGGTTGCTTATCACTCTCTGTTTGTGGAAGTGAATGCATAGGTGGATCCTTTGTCAAATGATCCCCCATGTCAATGCTTGAAACATATCTCCTATTAGTTCGTCTCCATTGAACATAATTATGTTTTCCCAGTAACTTCCTATCAGTAATCTTTACAGATGAGGGAACTGAAATTTCAATCATCATCTGTTTACCTTCCACTGCCATAGCTTAATCAAACCAACAATGAATTCTCTACTAAGCTTACAGACAAAATCACTTTCAATCACCAATATCCAGCAAACCCAAATCACCAATTCACAAAAATTCACAACTCAAATCCAACACTACAACCAGAACAGTCATAAAATAAACATAGAAAAAAGAAACACAATAACTGAAAACTACAGAGTAATAGAATCTGATCACCAACTAGAAACCACGACTAGAAAACAGGATACACGACAGACTTAGTCATCGGAAAAAGTAACAACCGCGAACAGTGTCACGTGAACAATGCAATTGGCCACCAAAACAAAACCCTAAGACCGGTGCTTTAATTCCATGTGATAAAATATTCTATTGTAGTTTATTCAATCATATAATAAAATAATATTACACCCTATATATATTTTCACTACGTTACATTTACACATATACCCTTAACTCTATACACATAACTTCTATCACATGATAAGCCAAAAAATTATTCCTACAATTGTTAAAAGACCAGTCTACACTTAAAATTAACACATTGTGGAAAGACCATAAAGTTTATAAGATGAAGGAAAAAGTATCTGCATGAATTCTATCTGCCTTCCTCTATGGTTACGCTCAAAGCATTTCCTGTCAGAGACTTATCTTTACTTGATGATGGATCTGTGCTGAAACCTCTTTCTGTGAAAAAAACCAGGCTTTCTAGGCTGAGGAAACACCACCTCTTCATTTGCTAACATGAAAACTACAGAGGACATTTCTGGCCTGTTTTCTGGAAACTTTTGAGCACATAATAAACCCACTTGAATACATCTTCGAACTTGAGATTCGATGAAGAAACCTTCTAGATGCCTATCCATTAGTTCTAGGGCCCTTCCATCATTCCACAGCAGCCAGGCCTGAAAATATCTCAGCACATACTTTATGTATTCACAAAAATGGATATTGTGTGGAAAAAAAAAAGCATTATATGAATTTTTCTACTTACATGTCCAAGAAGATTATGATGGTGATCGATATGACGGAATCTCCTATTCATTCTTCCACTTATTATCTCTAACAGAAGCACACCAAAGCTAAAAACGTCAGATTTCAAAGAAAATGTGCCATCAGTGGCATATTCAGGAGACATGTAGCCACTGCATCAAAGTCTCAAACATAAGTTCTATAAAATTAGAAATATATATGATTACAGTAGTAGAACTTACTGTGTTCCGACAACTCTCTTTGTGTTCACCTCTTTTGCATCACTTTTGAAAATTCTTGCCAACCCAAAATCTGAAATTTTAGGATTCAAGTCACTGTCTAATAAAATATTACTGGTCTTGAGATCCCTGTGAACTATTTGCAGTTTAGAATCTTGATGGAGGTAGAGAAGTCCTCTTGCAATACCGATAACAATTTCAAAGCGCTTTTTCCAGGACAACAGTTTCCTTCTTTCACGATCTGCACATCATTTCCAACTTCAGTAATGGTTTTAGACCTGTTGTCTAATTTTCAATTTTGACAGTAAGATCAAACTTGTGTAACTAATATATGGGTATAGGGTCCAGATAAGCTACCAAAAATAAAGTAATCCAAACTTTTATTTGGCATATACTCGTAGATCAGTATCTTTTCATCTCCTTCAGTGCAGCTTCCAATAAGCGTAACAAGATTTCTATGTTGAAGCTTGCCAGTTATAACAACCTCGTTCTTGAATTCTTCCAGACCCTGTCCTGATTTTTTTGAAAGCCTTTTTACTGCAATTTCCTGTTCCTCTGGAAGAATTCCCTGAGCATTGACAAACGCAAGTTTATTATTTGCTGGCAAGAGGTTTAAGGCAGATTCTATTTAGTGTTTCATAACATATAACCTCTGCTACCTTGTAAACAGGACCAAATCCACCCTCGCCAATTATGTTGGCTTTAGAGAAATTGTTAGTTGCTGCAACTACCGTACCTAAATCAAATAAAGGAACTTCTGTTTCCTCCTTCCTGCTCTCCAGGCCTATTAAAGTTTGAACCTCTTCAACACCTGTTGATCATTGAACCACTGCATGAATTTCTACCTCCACCAAGATTTCTCAAGATAAAAATTACTTTAGTTCTGTTTAAGAAATTTTGAAACTAATTGAGTCTATTTATATTTTAACCAAGGTTACGAGGTCTCAAAATGAAATTTTATCCTAAAACAAGTCATCAAGATCCGATGAATTTATTACCCTTGTTCTTTGTTTTCTTCCAAGCTTTCCAGAGTACAAGTCCCAATGTAAAGCTGCCAAAAATGGTTGAGACCGACGAGATGATCTTTATTCTTTTCTTCTTATTGAAATCATTAGCTGATTTTAGAATAGACAACATGAAGAAACTTAATCAATTCATTGAAAAACAAATTCTATTTCAGAGAGAAAATTACTAAAAAAAGAATATACAAATAAAATGAAATTGGTTTTTTGGCACAGGCAGACGAAAGCCAAAACCATCAGGGAAGCCGCAGTGCTCTTACATTTTCCTTGTTCAACTGTAAGTAAAATAACACTCTTACCAAGTTCTGATGCCGGAACTCGTATAAAGATATCCTGTCCTGCAGTTAATGGGTTAGAGCATTGTTTCATATCAATCAAGTCACTAAACCACATCAAGCAGCCGCTACTTCCTCCAACCTCATCTAAGTTTGCATAAGCCCTACAGGAACAGTTCTTCAAGCACTCTACATGGCATTCCTCAATATTCATACTTTGGTTGAACCAATTAACATCAGGCAATTTCATTCGTTTAAGCATTTGAAATCCTTCTCCATTTCGACAATCTGATTCTGTTGGCGATTTCTTTACACATTTCCTAGTCTCAGGTGTGTCCCATTCATCTTGTGATTTTGATTCAAACCCCTTCAAACAGACACAATTAGGTGTCTTGCTAGTTCTGCAGTAAGCACTAGCACCACACTCTGCATAATTATCACAAATGTCAAACGGCCAAGAGAACATAATTCTCCATCCCCTAATCCTCTCATTCCATACACGACGCTGCACCTGACCTGATGGATTCACTAATATTTGTGTGATAACTGTGTCGTAAAAAGGCTCATACGCATAGTACAACTCATCTCCTGTGTGTACAAACCTTGGTTTGAAGACCTTGTTGTGCATCATGGGAACGCCACCAAAGGTGAGACCATCCCATGGTCCACTGCGGACCACTTTTCTTGATGGTGCAGCAGTAATGAATAATTGAGGCACCACATTAATGTCGAGTCTGAAAGTAAAGTCTCCAGGGTATGGATCATCTGCACTTTTCCATGGGGTCAATTGTCGCTCAAAAAGAGGTTTTAAGTTCCAACCCAACTTCATGCCTGGTAACAATGTGTCTGATGGGTAATCAAAACTCTGCCACATATAACTTTCAGAACTCATGTCATGACTGTCCCTTAGAACAAGATTTCCAGAATCTAGGAGTTGTACCACTGGATTTTCTGGCACCCTGGATGAGTTGGAAGACAAGATAATGCTCTTATTTTGGTTGATAAGTACAAGAATTCCATTGTCGTCAATGGTTAAAGCTCCTTGACGATCTGGAATCGGATCTTTTCTGTTTGCAACCTACACAACTGTTTTAGGACTAATCTTGTACCAGATCCCCACGTACCTGCTGTTTGAGTTTCCTGGAGAAAAGAAGCCTAGCTCGAAGCTTTGGGATGAGGAAATTAATGTCTCCCCATCTCTGATAATTTGTGTTGGAGTTATCATATCAGCTGCAAATGACAACTCTGTGTTCAATAACAAGATCAAAGAGCAAAAGATGGTGAAGAACGGAAGGTACTCCATTCTTATTCCTGACAAAAAAAAGAACAAAATTGCCAGTTGCCTCCATGTTGAAAAATTTTAACCTTTTAATCAACCCCTTTTGATAAGTTTTCCCATAGTTGACTATATGGACAAGTATTTTTCTTACACGTAGTCTTCATTGAGAACTCAATAGTTAGAAGGAAAATGAAAGGAATATTATTAAGAGTCAGAAAATCTCAGTATCATATTTTTAATTAAAGTTTATTACACATAGGAGTAAATAACTATGAAAGAAACCAATGGCAACAAAGTAGAGTTGCACCAAGACATGGTAGGATTCAACTGAGTGGATTCAGTCCTTGCTGGAAAATGTTAGAAGTTGGTTATGGGCCTCCTTAAGCATCCCCAGCTATACGTTTAAGTCTTTACTGGGGTCAGAAAGAGCTTATATAATTTTAAAGGATTTTAAAGGACATAAGAAACCAATTTTGTCAAGGATTTTAGACTTTCATTGTCACTTGTCTGGGGGCCATGTACAAAATACAGTTATTATTGGCAAATTTTCAGCATCAGATTTGTCACCATCCCGTGAAGATTCTGAAACACGGTAGTCTTCCAATTCCCATCTGGGGACCCAAAATCATACTCGCTATAAAGTCAATGACTCAAGTCTTCTGAATGTTGGAAGTATTATAAAATTCATGCTTTTTAGGGTTTAAGTCTTTACTGGGGTCAGAAAGAGCTTATAATTTTAAATCCATAAAGTCAATGACTCAAGTCTTCTGAATGTTGCAAGTCTTATAAAATTCATGCTTTAAGGGTCTCTGCAACCGTCCTCGATTCAGGTAATCCAAGGTGGATTGTATCAATTATACGTATAGAAATGAGACATTTCTCTGTGACCCCTGGAATTTTTATATACACAAACAATTTGTGGAGCAATACTTGAATGACTCAAAATTGTGCAAACTCATGACAATCATCTTCTTTTGGAAACTTATAATTTGGAATTTAAGGTCTACAGTGTCAAAAATTAGTGGAACTTAACGTACAAGTCAAATAGCTATCACGTGAGGTTGTTCATAGAAACAAGTGGCTTGGGTTGTTTTGTTTTTATTTAGATAGGATTTTAGGAGTGGTGATGTGAGTGATCGGAGAGATTTGTGGAAAGTGGCTTAGTGGAACAGTTCCTTAAATAGCTGATGTGATTGAGATGAAATTCGCATTATTCTCACAAAGATTTTTTATTGTATTTTCTCATTTAAGTAAAAGCTTTTCTTTAACTTTCTCTTGGCCTTCTCTCATTTTATTCTTCTTTTTATTTTAACAGAATCTCATGTCATTCACATTTATATAATAATTTAATATAAGCCAATTCTCTGAAGCAGTATTTTCCATCTGTGAAATATCAATTTTACACCTGGGTCCTGCTTCCTATCAACAGAGTCAAAATCACGTTTCATCAAATTCTTAATCATGCAGCTCAGTTCCCATTTAACGATAACCCATTTGTGAAGATAATGTTAATAGATTTAGAGAATCAAAGAAATGGAAGAAAACTTTTCTCTGTATATTCATTATACTTGAAGTTTAACATATATAACTTTGATTCTGATGTTACTTTAACTATGGTTTACATTTACAATAGTTATATAGTTGTAAACAACTGACTTAACAATTTAACTACTATTAGGACTTAGGAGTGGACAGTTCTAGGTACCCGCCTTTTTTTTAAGGAACAGAAACGGGAACGGGAACTAGCCGGTTTCTTTGATTTGGAAATGGAACTAGAATCAGAACCGACGATTACGGTTCCAAAAAACTTGGAACCAAAACTTGTGTTTTAGGTTCTAGTGACGGAACCAAAAAGGAAATTTTTAAGATTTTGAAAAACATCAAACTTATATTGCATGAGAAATAACCAAGTGGTCATAGAATAGTCATCTACTATGGTAAGAAAGTACCTAACATTTCCCTGTGTTGGTGTTCTATATGGTCTCTAAACATCCAAATGCAAAAGTTCAAAAATATGATGAGTGTTTGTAGTTCTTAGTGTAAAAGGTATCCTAGTTTGTTTGGCTAAGGGACAAATAGGACAATGAGGTGTACCCATTCCATTTAAACCATTGTGCATCATTCTCAGAATAGAATAAGCTACATGTCCTAATTTATTATGCCAAAGTGCAGCTTTATTATTCATAGAACATGTAGAAGACTGAGGAAAAACAATGTTTCTTTTTTATTGAAGTAACAGATACATCATGAATACCACAAGATGAATTACAAACAGTTTTATTTTTACTTCCTAAGTCTGAAATTTTCGAATTTATTTTTGATAAAGGTAAAAGATAGTATAATCCTAGGCTATATATGCTTACCAATCCCCTTCACCTTGCCACTCCAAAGATCTTGAATTAGACATAAATCAGCTTAAAAGGTAATGGAATAATTACCCGATGAAGTTAATTTTGATACTGATAAAAGGTTGTATTTAAAATTTGGTAAATGGAAAATTTTTTTTAGACACATCATTTTCCAGTGTAACAGAACCTATGTGTTCAATTGGTGTTTTAGTGCCATTGGGAAGACCTACAAGTGTTCTCATGGATGAATTAACAGCAATTGGAGATTCCAGATTATGAAAGTCATAAGTCATATGATCATTGGCCCCTGAGTCTAATATCCAATTATCACGATCAATACTGAAGTATAAAGATGCGAGTTTACCTGCCAAATTTGCTGATAGAGCTGTGATATTTTCTTTACCCAGTAATTGCAACAATTGGCTATATTGTTCTACTGACAATACATTTTCCGAACTGGTTGCACTCTTCATACTCTTTGATGATGATTCTGACATTTGTGATTGCTGTGATTGCACCTGATTAGATTTAGAGAATCAAAGAAATGGAAGAAAACTTTTCTCTGTATATTCAATATACTTGAAGTTTTTGACATATACAACTTTTATCCTGATGTTACTTTAACTATGGTTTACTTTAATTATGGTTTACATTTACCATAGTTATGCAGCTGTAAACAACTGACTTAACAACTTAAATACTACAATATACAATAGAGAAATGTTAAATGTACAAAGACTCTATACAAAGTGATGTGGTAACTGTCATACCATCAGTTTTACATCAATTTTTTTTTTTTTTTTACAAACTGGTGGTGTGGCAACTGTCACTTCACTTTGTTAAGAGTCTTTGTACATCTAGTATTTCCCAATAAATATTTCCCTAACACAAAAATGTGATTCGAAAAGATATTCCCAGTTTGTATAAACAGAAAGATAGTAGAAATCCTCCTAAGGACTCTTCTTACAAGTTGCAGAGACATGGTTAGTCTCTCATCATGCTTTACAAGTACAGCTAAGACGCTCATTAACGATTTCAAATTGCCCATCGGCTAGGATTCTAAACCGCTGTAGCCAAAATTTACTAGACAGGACCCATGTGACTGACTATTTTCTCAGGGATAACATGGTGTTTGCAAACATTGACCATGAAAATATTGAGCAACATCCATTGTTGAATAAGGATGACTAAACAGCAGCATGAAATTCTATCTGCCTTCCTGAATGGTTATACTCAATGCGTTATTCTTTATGAGATTTTTCTTTGCTTCATCTTGTATCAGAGCTGAAACCTCTTTCTGTAAAGAAACCTGGTTGTCTAGGCTCAGGTAGCACAACTTCTTCAGTTGCGAACTAGAAAACTACAGATGACATTTCTAGGCTATTTTGTGGGAACTTTTGAACACATAATAAACCCACTTTAATACATCTTTGAACTTGACATTCGATGAAAGAATCATCTAAACACCTGTTGAAGATGACCCTTTTTGGTAGAAGAAGACATGCCGTGGCAGGGAACAATGTATGCCGCGGCAGAAATGCAAAAACAGAAGACCGAAAGAATCCAGAATGCTCAATGCCGCGGCACACAAAAATGGATGCCACGGCATGACTTGTAAATTGCAGTTATTTAGTTCTTTTCAAATTCTGTTATTTTCAGTTTTAGATTGAATCAATTTGCAGTTATTTTTAATTATGTGTTTAAAATTTTCTTTACTGCTGTATGAACAATTAAGATGGTTATGTAATCTAATCCCTTTATAAACGTATAAAAAGGGAGTTAGAGTTTTATGAATTGTGGAGAATGTATCAATATGTTTCATTGAATAAAATTTGTTTCTTTCTTCACCACACAAGTTTTCATCTTTTATAGTCTAAGATTTTAATTGTTATCCCTCTCATTTCCAACAACACCTATCCATTAGTTCCAGGGCCCTTCCATCATTCCACAGCATCTAAATCAAAAGACTTTTATCTCATTGAGAAGAAAACTTTGATGGCAGAGAATTTTTAGAACCTTGACAATTCCCAAATTAAAGCATACATGACGCCTGTAAGTCTTAATGCACTGACGAGTCAATGATGTTAGGAGATCTTGTAGCAGAAAATATATATTCGAGATTAATAATATAAGAATAAAGTCACACCACAAAAAGAAACATAATATTTACGTGATTCAGTATAACCCGTATACATCCATGGATGAAAAAAATATATTATAGTTTTATGAACACGACATATAAGAGTACACAACACCATAAACTCAGTACATAAAACAGAGCAGAAACATCATAGTTTCTAACCATGCTCAACCCAGTATCTATAGTGGAAACAATCTCAATTTCTAAGACACTCTCTGCATGGTGTTTAATAACCCTTACATCAAATATCATGTGTCCTCACATTCTCTTATAACCTTGAATTGGTTCTCACCCCTATATTTATAGGTAGTATATAAGATATTTTATTTTTAATATGATTTATATTTCAATCCTAATAGGACTCCTAAAATCAATTCCTATTTACAATTATATTCTTTATTAAATAGTTTTCTCAAAGACATACAATTTCATATGGGAACAACTAAGAAAGCAAACCACAATATCTCAATACTCTCCACCTTGGCAAGTTTTCAATCACACTAATGAACATGAGAGTTTTCCATCACAACGATAAACATGATGAAGATAACGTCCAATATCACGGCATCCAAGTAACAAAGTAACCATGTCAAATTATGCTAGCATCCAGATCACACAATAACCATGCCAAATTTTGCTACCAAGATTTGAACCACTCCACATACAACTTAAACTTGTTGTAATTCGTCTCTTATATGCATCTACTATCTCGAAAGAACTCATCACCTAGGTTGCAACTTGGAGCTTCGATACCACTTGTTAGGAGATCGCACAACAGAAAACATACANAACAATTAAGATGGTTATGTAATCTAATCCCTTTATAAACGTATAAAAAGGGAGTTAGAGTTTTATGAATTGTGGAGAATGTATCAATATGTTTCATTGAATAAAATTTGTTTCTTTCTTCACCACACAAGTTTTCATCTTTTATAGTCTAAGATTTTAATTGTTATCCATCTCATTTCCAACAACACCTACCCATTAGTTCCAGGGCCCTTCCATCATTCCACAGCATCGAAATCAAAAGACTTTTATCTCATTGAGAAGAAAACTTTGATGGCAGAGAATTTTTAGAACCTTGACAATTCCCAAATTAAAGCATACATGACGCCTGTAAGTCTTAATGCACTGACGAGTCAATGATGTTGGGAGATTGCCTAGCAGAAAATATACCTTTGAGATTAATAATATAAGAATAAAGTCACACCACAAAAAGAGACATGATATTTACGTGATTCAGTATAATCCGTATACATCCATGGATGAAAAAATCTATTATAGTTTTATGAATACGACATATAACAGTACACAACACCATAAACTTAGTACATAAAACAGAACAGAAACATCCTAGTTTCTAACCATGCTCAACCGAGTATCTATAGTGGAAACAATCTCAGTTTCTAAGACACTCTCTGCATGGTGTTTAATAACCCTTACATCAAATATCATGTGTCCTCACATTCTCTTATAACCTTGAATTGGTTCTCACCTCTATATTTATAGGTAGTATATAAGATATTTTATTTTTAATATGATTTATATTTCAATCCTAATAGGACTCCTGAAATCTATTCATATTTACAATTATATTCTTTATTAAATAGTTTTTCCAAAGACATACAATTTCATATGGGAACAAATAAGAAAGCAAACCACAATATCTCAAGACTCTCCACCTTGGCAAGTTTTCAATCACACTAATGAACGTGAGAGTTTTCCATCACAACGATAAACATGATGAAGATAACGTCCAATATCACGGCATCCAAGTAACAAAGTAACCATGTCAAATTATGCTAGCATCCAGATCACACAGTAACCATGCCAAATTTTGCTACCAAGATTTGAACCACTCCACATACAACTTAAACTTGTTGTAATTCGTCTCTTATATGCATCTACCATCTCGAAAGAACTCATCACCTAGGTTGCAACTTGGAGCTTTGATACCACTTGTTAGGAGATCGTACAACAGAAAACATACATTCGAGATAAATAACATATGAATAAAATCATACCACACAAAGAGACATAATATTTATGTGGTTCGACATAACCGGTCTACATCCACGAATGAAAGAAATTCACTATAGTTTCATGAACACAATATACAAGAATACACAACACCATAAACTCGGTACATAAAACAGAGCAGAAACATCTTAGTTTCTAACCATACTCAACCCAATACCTAGAGTGGAAACTATCCCAGTTTCTAAGACACTCTCCCCATGGTGTTTAATAACACTTACATTAAATACCTTGTGTTCTCACATTCTCTCATAACTTTAAATTGGTTATCATCCCTATATTTATAGGTAGTATATGGGATATTCTATTTCTAATAGAATTCATATTTCAATTCTTAGTAGAACTCTTAAAATCTATTTATATTTATAATTGTATTGTTTAATAAATAGTTTCTTAAAGACATACAATTTTACATGAGAACAAATAGAGAAAGGAGTCATAATATTGCTAGCAACTATTGAAGATTTCCGTGTCATTAAGAAGAGGACATGTAGAAATGTCGCTTTTTGTAGGAATAGTATTCTTTCCTGTTTCATGGCCTTACTTGGAAATCTGTCATTCGACATAATCACCAAAAATATTATGGCAATTTTAAAAGGCCTGGTTAAACTAGTACTCCCGTGATCCAAATGTTTGGTGAAACCATTCATGCTAGGAGCAGAAATAGCATCTTTCGTCAAGAATCAGTAATTACCTTAGGGACCTAGGTAGTATGTCAAACTGCAATTTAATGTTCCAACCATTAAATTACTTCCACTTATTCAGAAATTAAAATACATAGATTCTTAAGCTAGTTTACGCTTAAGCATCAATTTACTGAATATGTTAATTTCTGGCTACTTTACAAACACATTAACCATTGTAGAAAGACATCAAAGTTTAGGCCATCAATGAAGGAAAAAGCATCCGCATAATAACAGCATGCCCCAATGGAAAAAAAAAAACTCGTAAACTGGGGCATGAAATTCTACCTGCCTTCCTCCATGGTTACACTCAAAGCATTTCTTGTAAGAGATCTATCTTTACTTGATGATGTATCTGTGCTGAAACCTCTTTCTGTGAAGAAACCTGGCTCTCTAGGTCGAGGAAGAATCACGTCTTCATTTGCTAACATGAAAACTACAGATGAGATTTCCGGCCTGTTTTCTGGGAATTTTTGAGCACATAATAAACCCACTTGAATACATCTTCGAACTTGAGATTCCACGAAAGAATCTTCTAAAGACTTATCCATTAGTTCAAGGGCCCTTCCATCGTTCCACAACAGCCAGGCCTGAAATATCTCAACACATGTACTTTATGTATTCACAAAAATGGATAGTGTGTGGAAAAGGAAGCATTATATGATTTTTCTGCTTACATGTCCAATAAGGTTATGATGGTGATCGAGGTGATGGAATCCTCTATTCCTTCTTCCACTTATTATCTCTAACAGAAGCACACCCAAGCTAAATACATCGGATTTCAAAGAAAATGTGCCATCAGTGATATACTCAGGAGACATGTAGCCACTGCATCAAAGTGTCATTTATAAGTACTTTAAAACTGAAAATACATGTAATTACAGTAGTAGAACTTACTGTGTTCCAACAACTCTCTTTGTGTTCACATCTTTTGCATCATTTTTGAAAATTCTTGCCAACCCAAAATCTGAAATTTTAGGATTCAGGTCATTGTCTAACAAGATATTACTGGCCTTCAGATCCCTGTGAACTATTTGCAGTTTAGAATCTTGGTGGAGGTAGAGAAGTCCTCTTGCAATCCCAATAACAATTTCAAAGCGCTTTTTCCAGGACAAGAGTTTCCTTCTTTCACGATCTGCACATCATTGCCAACTTCAGTAATTGAAATTAAACTTGTCCTAGAATTTTCTATTTTGAATGTAAAATCAAACTTGAGTAACTAATAATTAGATGGATATAGGGTTCAGAAATGCTACCGAAAATAAAACAATCCAAGCTTTTATTGGGCATATACTCATAGATCAGTATCCTTTCATCTCCTTCAGTGCAGCTTCCAATAAGAGCAACAAGATTCCTGTGTTGAAGCTTGCCAATTATAGCGACCTCGTTCTTGAATTCTTCAAGACCCTGTCCTGACTGTTTCGAAAGCCTCTTCACTGCAATTTCCTGTCCATCTGAAAGATTTCCCTGTGCATTGTCAAACAGATAAGAAAGTTTATCATTTGCTATGAAGAGTTTTAAGGCGACTTCTGGTGAGTGTTTCATAACATATGACCTTTTTACCTTGTAAACAGGACCAAATCCACCCTCACCAATCATGTTGGCTTTAGAGAAATTGTTAGTTGCAGTAGCTACCGTTGCTAAAGGAAATAAAGGTACTTCCGTGTCTTCCGTCTTGCTCTGCAGGGCGATTAAAGTTTGAACCTCTTCGTCACCTGTTCATTTTAAATAGAGTGAATGTTAGTGACCTCCACTGAGATTTCATTAGCATACAAATTAATCTGGTTCTAGTTTTCCCCTCAGAACGGTTACTAATAAATTTCAGAGGTGTATGATTTGTTTTAATATATTTTGGAAACTGATTGAGTTTCATTATATTTTAAACTAAATTTAAGATATTGCCAAATGAACTTCATGAAATCCAACAAAAAATAAGCAAGATGAGATGAATGTATTACCTTTGTTCTTTCTTTTCTTCCAAACTTTCCAGAACACAAGTCCCAATATAAGGATGCCAGAAGCAGTCGAGACCGATGCAATGATCTTTATTCTTTTCTTCTTACTCGAATCATTAACTGATTTTAGAGTAGACAACATGAAAAACTTAATAGATTTGTTGAAACTTATTCTTTTTCAGATTAATAAAATGTACAAAGAGAACAGATTGTTTTTCCTAACGTAGGTGGACCAAAGCCGCGCCATTAGGAATGCAGCAGTTCTTTTGCATTGCCTTGTTCAACTGTAAATAAAATGACACCCTTACCTAGTTCTGAAGCGGGTACTCGTATAAAGATATCCTGTCCCCAAGTGAATCGTTCTGAGCATTCTTTCATATCAATCAGGTCAGTAAACCACATCAAGCAGCCACTACTTCCTCCACCCTCATTTAAGTCTGCATAAGCCCTACACGAGCAGTTCTTCAAGCACTCTGCAGAACATTCCTTAATATTCATACTTTGGTTTGACCACATAATATCGGGCAATTTCATTCGTGCAAGCTTTTGAAACCCTTCTCCATTTCTGCAATCTGATTCTGTTGGTGATTTCTTTACACATTTCATGGTGTTTGGTGTGTCCCATTCATCTTCTGATTGGGTTTCAAACCCCTTCAAACATATACAATTAGGTGTCTTGCTAATTCTGCAGTAAGCATTAGCACCACACTGTGCATAATTATCACACATGTCATATGGCCAAGAGTACACAATACGCCATTCCCTAAACTTTTCATTCCATTCAAGACGCTGCATATGACCTGTTGGGTCCACCATTAATCTTGTGATTACTGTATTGTCAAAAGGCTCATATGCGTAATACAACTCGTCTTCTTTGTGTACCAACATTGGTTTGAAGACCTTGTTGTGCATCATGGGAATGCCACCAAACTGGAGACCATTCCATGGTCCACTACGAACCGATTTCCTAGATGGCATACCAATGACTAATTGAGGCACCCCACCAATGTCAAGTCTGAGGGTAGATTCTCCAGGGGCTGGATCATCTTCACTTTTCCATGGGGTCAATTGTCGCTCAAAACCAGTTTTTAAGTTCCATCCCAACTTCATGCCTTCTAACAATGTATCTGATGGATAATCGAAACTCTGCCACATGTAGCTTTCAGGACTCCTGTCATTACTGTCCTTGAGAACAAGGTTTCCAGAATCTAGGAGTTGTACCACTGGATTTTCAGGCTCCTTGGATGAGTTTGAAGACAAGATAATGCTCTTCTTTTGGTTGATAAGTACGAGACGTCCGTTGTTGCTGATGGTTAAAGCTCCTTGACGATCTGGAATTGGATCTTTTCTGTTTGCAACCCACACAACTATCTCAGGACTAATCTTGTACCAGATCCCCACATAACTGTAGTTTGAGTTTCCTGGAGAAAAGAAGCCTAGCTCAAAGCTTTGGGAAGAGGAAATTAATTTGTCACCATCCCTGATAAATTGTCTGGGAGTTATCATATCAGCTGCAGATGACAACTCCATGCTCAATAGCAAGATCAAAGAACAAAGGGTAGTGAAGAATGGAAGGTACTCCATTCTTCTTGCTGACAGAAAAAACAAAATAAGATAAAATTGCTGTTATGCTAAAATTAGAACTCAATCTGCCAGAACAAACATCAAACACATTCCAAAGAATCTAAATCACACACCAAAGAAGCAAGAACACACAATCAAGAACACCGAAGATTTTACCGTGGTTCACTTATTCCAAAATTGGGAATAAGCTACATCCACGTTAAGCTCCATGGACTTTTGGGGCTCACTGCACTAAGATATTAGAAGTTTATAGATTACAAGAGCAAATCAACTCCAAATCTTTACACAATCAATCCCCAAATCCTAACTGTAACCTTTAATCACAAAAGAAACCAGAACATAGATTCTCTACCATTGAAGGAAGCTCGAACTTCAACCCAAGATTTACATAAATCTAAGACTGATTACAAGAACTTTGGACTCAATTGGAAACCCTTGCAGAGCACTATGTTGATTGTAAAGAGAGAGCTGGAGAAAGATGCAAATCTAGAATTTTTGCCTCTTTTATGGCTTTGACTTTCTTGGACAAATGGTAGCCATTTGATCTCTTTAACAAGCAATGGCCAAGATTAAAACTCCCACTTCCTCAAACACCACCGTTTTGAGCTTCATTTAACAATTGCAAATTGCATTCATAGGACTAAAGAATCTGTACGGTTCGATCAGTGATTTCAGTTCTTTCTGGAAAATTCTACAGGTTGATTATGTCACCTAAACATGTTCATATGTGTTATGCCTAAAAAATTAGGGCTGATGTAGGCTTACGTCAGCGAGGACCAATTAGAATTCAGGAAGGCATTGTGCCATCTAGACACTGCCATGTCGCCTAAGGATAGAAGGAGTAAGGCTGTCATCAGCTTGGTAGGTAAAGGCCTGGCGAGTGAACGATTGGGAGTCACCCACTTGCCCAAGCCCTACATGATTTAAGGTTATCTTCCATGCAATCAGCCAATGGGAAGCAGGGTAGGAACTGCATGGCATTGCCTGCTGGTAGACCCATAATCATTACCTAAAAACGTCTTACTATAAATAAAGGGCTCCTCTCTATTTTTCGGGATTGTAGTTTTGATAACAAAAAACACTCTCTCTCCCTTTCTGTGTTTCTGTTCTCTTAGATCACTGCATACGACCTGATTGTATTCTTTCATAAATAAAAAGATAGTGGACGTAGAATTTGCTTTGAGGATCTGAACCACTTTAAAAATCGTCTCCCTTTTATTTGTTTTATTTCCCAGTTCATGTGCAATTTCTAAGTTCGCTTAGCACTTTGCATGTGCGAATAGTTGGTGTCAAAATCCAGCATCAACAATTTAGCACTAGAAGGAGGGCCTGATTTAGTATATACTCTTCATCAGGAATCTCTGATCAATCGAGTCTGTTCCTTAGCAAATGGCCCGTGGTTTCGAAACCAAGCAAGCTAGCCCCAGCAACGAGGAGGTCCCTAGGGTACAGGATAACATTTCTCCCAAAGTGCCCCTGATTCAGTATAGTACCACAACGGACATTCCTTCGAGCTCATAGCTCAACCCAGTTGTGATGGATTACTTAGAGAGGTTCAACAATACTCTTCAAACGTTTAACTGAAGGTTAGACCATTTTGATCAAATTGTACCACCTGAGTCTAACAAGGCGATGCTACCACCAAAAACGCCTCTAGGTCACGCTAAAGCACGAAAACGGGCGATAGCCCATGTCACGCACACTGCAACGTGAAAAGGAAAGGGAAAATAGGTGGCAGATAATTGGCCGAAGGAATCCAAAGGACCAGCGATTACCGGCCATGAAACATGTAGAATACCTATGGCTTTACGACTTGGCTACATGTTGCATCATGAACCGTCCTACGCCATATTGCATGGCCACCCTTACAAGAGTGCAAGGCAAGGGAACCCCTAGCAACTGTGGGTCGGTTCTGACCACTGAGGAGGTTGGGTTAACTCCTCTAACCTTTCATTGCCTTCACATGGCTTCACTCAACGTGTGTCAAGATATGTCAGAGCCTCTGACCGAGGAGAGGAAGAGTCCGATATGTGGTCTTTTCTCAACCGTAATCATGAGGGTCGAACCCATGTTGCGAAAAATATCACTAGACAGTCGTGTTGCCTCAGATTAAAGAGTTACAATGAGCTCTAGATCAGCTTAGAGCTCAACAAAATGAGCACGAGGAGGTCGCTAAGGCGTCTCCCTCTTCTCTAGTAGTGTTAGCTGCTCTTCTCCTATTGAGGTTTAGAATGCTTGACATGCAAGAATTCGATGGGAATTCTAATCTGCAAGACCACCTCTATGAGTTTAACGACCTCATGGAGCTTCAACAAGTTTCCAACTTGGCTAAATGGCACTGTTTCGCAGTGATCCTGACTGCCCATGCCAAGAGCTGGTTTAGATCACTTCCACCAAGATCTATTAACTCCTGGCAGCAGATGAGCTCATTATTCTTGAGACACTTCCAGGTGAACAGGAAGTTCTCAATGCCGTTGAGATATCTAAGCAACATATGGCAGGAAAAGAATGAATCCCTCTAGTCCTACATTGACAGGTTCCACAGGGAGTTGCACAAGGTGGCTAACACATCTGAAGAATCTGTTCGGACTCTTATTATTGTAGAAGTCCACCCGTAGACCAACCTGTGGAAAAAGCTGTAATCCAAAGATGACATTTCCCTCACCCATTTCCACGACCTTACAGAGAATTATCTCCGAATAGAGAATTCCATGGCCGCTCTCAATTGCCATGACCCCAATACTTTGACCAATGCTCCTAACCAGTGGGAGGGTAGTAGAAGAGCTGATTGCAAGTGGGCCAATGACGATCAGCAGAAGGGAGAAAAGCAGTTGTTTAAGCCTAATAAATCCTATGCCCAGGTTCCTTATCGCAATAGCGACAAGAATTAGTATACTTCTCTGAACATGTTAGTATCGGCTATTCTATACAAGTCAAAAGAGGTCGGCCTGCTTGGTGAGCTAGCGTTGATGAACAATCCTTCTTTAGCAAGAAACAGAAAGGAATATTGCTGTTATCATCGAGATAATAGGCACCACACCGATGAGTGTCGGACTCTCAAGCTAGCAATTGAAGACCTCATCAAGCAGAGGCACTTCAAGGAGTATGTTAACGGTCCGACTCCCATTCGGGAGAAGGATCAAGAGCGGACCCATTCGGGAGAAGGATCAAGAGAAACTGGGGAAGAAATGTCATGGTTGCAAGGGTCTTTACTTTGTGAGATTATATTTGAAGGACCGCATCTCGAAGGGAATTCTCGAGGTGCCGAGGAAAGGTACACTCGGAAAGCTCGCCATGACCTCGTGAGTGTGATGAGCATGACATATGTGGCCTGTTAAGGTTCACAGAGAAGAAAAGATTACCTTCTTAGAGAAAGATGTGATGCGACTGCATCATCCCCATGAGGATGCACTTGTCATCGTGCCTGAAGTAGGTCGGTATGAAGTTCACAAGATGTTGGTGGACAATGGTAGCGTTGTGAATATCTATTTCAGCGAGCTTTTAAGGAGATGCAGTTAGACGAGGTAGATATAAAGCCTGCCTCTATTCCTCTCTATGGTTTTACGAGGTATCATCTAATTCCCCAAGGAACAATCGCACTTCTCGTCACTTTGGATGAGACCAACGAAGTGATCAAGATGATGGAGTTTTTAGTAGTACTATGAAGTTTTAAGGCCATCACCTCTATTTATCATCTGAAGATGAAGTTTCCCACTCCGACGGGGTGTGGGGAAATGAAAGGGTCTTAGAGCGAATCTCGCGACTATTATGTAAAGGCAGTGCAGATGGCATGCAAAGGGAAAGGGATGCCGATGGGCATTCCCAAGTAAGCAATGGCGATCAGTAGATCGAGCCACAACTCAGTCTAGTGGAAGATTGCATAGATCCTCAAGTTCAAGAGGAGTATTCCCATAGTGGGTCGGTTGAGTCTCTTTCAAACGTATCTATCAACAGAATGAGTCAACGCGAGCATTGAGAATCAGGAGTAATCTTAGCCCGCAGCTTACTACAGATTTAACAAGCTTGCTCAGACAAAATATCGATGTTTTTGCATAGACTCATGCTGATATGGTCGGGATCAGTTCAAAAATAATATGTCATGTACTTAACATCAACAGCGCAGTCAAGCTAGTTCGCCAGAAGAGAAAAGCCATGGACTCGGAGCGCTATGTTGCCCTTAAAGTTGAGGTGGAAAAGCTCCTCTCAAACGGGTTCATTCGGGAAGCTCATTACTTGAGTTAGGTCGCCAATCTGGTTTTGGTGAAGAAACCCAAAGACAAGTTGCGAACTTGCGTTGATTTCTCTAACCTCAACAGATCCTATCCGAAGGATAGTTTCCCTTTGCCCAGGATCGATAAGCTCATCAATGCCACCTTTGGGCACGAATTGTTGAGCTTCATGGACACCTATTTGAGGTAAAATCAGATCCCAATGTATGAGCATGATAAGGAGTATACCTCGTTCATCATAGATCAAAGACTGTACTATTATAAGGTCATGTCCTTTGGTCTAAAGAACGCTTGGGCAACCTACCAGCGTTTGGTTAACTGTATGTTTTCCAAGTAGATTGGAAAATCAATGGAAGTCTATATCGATGACATGCTGGTTAAGTCGCATGTCGCTTCAAATCACATAACACATCTTGTTGAAATGTTCGTCCTACTTCGAAGGTAAGTGTTCGTTCAAAGTATCCTTTGGAATTCTCAGGGTATATGGTCAACCATCGAGGGATTGAAATCAACCTCGAAAATATCCGAGCTCTTTTAGATATGACAAGTCCCGTAAATCAAAAGCAAGTTTAGAGCTTGAATGGGAAGATAATGGCTCTCAGTCGTTTCATATAGAGAGCAACAGATCATTGCTTGCCGTTCTTTAATATACTCAAGGCTAACAAGAAGTTCGAATGGACTCCGGAATGTGAGTGAGCCTTCCAAAGCATAAAGGAA